CCACTGTGTGTGCAACCTTGGAACCAAATATTATGAATCCTTTCTTCTGAACAATCTAAGAGTTAAATAAACTCCCAAATTAACCAGGAATAGCATTATGATATTACCACATGCCACTGCTGGATCTGTCTCCCACATGATCAAGTTTAGGATAAGTAAAGACTATCTCCTCTACACCTTTCTGTATAAATCCAAGGCTGAGTAGGAAGATAAAATTTTGTGACTAAGCCTGTATCTATAGAAGATATCAAGAATTCCCATTCAAGCCTCTAAGAGCCCAGGAGTCCTCAACCACAAACCTGTTGAGGACCAAAAAGCATTCAGAAGCAATACCATATATGTTTGCCAGCTTTTTTGCAGGTACCTGCAAGGGGCTGCTTTGGAGTTAGGACGCTGAGCTATATGGATCTCTGCTCTGACCAGCAGAGCTGCCTTTACGGTTGGTGGCATTCATCAAAGCTGCCAGCATGAGCAGAATCAATTTCCATTCCCAGGGAGTTCCTAGATCCTAGAGAGATCACCTCAGTCTTTGAGGGACTCCCTTCAAGCAAGGGGCCAGAGCAAGGCTGGAGAGAATGGAGGATTATTTAGACGAAGAGAAGGGATTGAGGCACAACTCAAGCAGACAGCTGCAGAAGTGAGGAAGGCTGGAACAAAACTTCCTAAGGAAGTCCTGGGAGAACACTGGAATAGAGCTAAAGAGGTTGGCTTACTTATTTACTAGGACACTGGGGCAAACCAGAACAAAAAAACCACAGAGCCTCAGAGACGGACTTACCCATAACCTAAAAGTTTCTGCTTTCAGAGCAATTCTGCACGCGCCTTCTGTTTGCCTCCCTTCTCCCCTTGTTACTCCATTGTAGTTACATGAATCACTATGCTGCTGACCCAAGGAGGTTGTTTATACAACATGTACATTCTGGCATTAGACTTCTGCTGTTTCTAAACAGGTCACACATTTGATGCTTTGTTAAGTAAGTATTGATTTTCTTGCAGTAAGCTAACATTGGATACACACACAGTAGGGGTGGATTTGTTATGCTACTCATTCCCTTATGTAACAGTACTGACTTCAGAGGGACTAGTCATGTTTGAGATGCAGGAACTGATAAGTAATAACACAGAGATCTAAATATTTCTCTGCTCTAGTAACCAGTCATTTAAACAGCCAAATCATAGTGTGAAGAGAGAAAGAATACAAAAACACACGTTGACAATTTTTCAGTGACATTTCTACAGGGCATATCACCATTCTGCAAAGCACTGTGTGCCTAACCCACACAGTTCTACATCCATGCTATTTCCAGTGTTAATTCATTTTCTTTGTATATCATTTTAACTTTACTGCCTTTTCTGCACACAACTGGCTGATAAGTAGAATCATAGAATTGCTGAGGTTGGAAAAGACCTTAAAGATCATTGAGTCCAACCGCAACCTAATCATACTACCCTAACTCTAACAACCCTCAGCTAAATCACGTCCCTGAGCACCGCATCCAAATGGTTTTTAGACACACTTTGTTATGCTGCTCACTGTAAAAAAAGAAGTGCTTCCCCTCCCACGAAGAGGTTATGTCCCATGGTGTGGTTTTTGTGGTTTTTTTGGAAGGTGACACTACAGCAATGTCATGCTTTTAAGAGTGTAAGGTACCACCCTGTGAAATATATCTAAGATGAATTATATAAGCCAAAGAACAACATGCTTTCATCACTCTTCTGGAAGCCTCTAGAATGTACTCACCACCTCATGTTAACTGCATAGGGCTTTCAAAAAGGAGAATATGATTTTATTTGCATGCGTATCTCAAAACAAAACATGGACCTTTTTCTTTGAAGTTCTTCTTCAAAGCATCTTCAAAGGTAGGTCTCTAGTTTGCAAGGAGATATACATGTAAATAAATTCAGATTCAATGAACTTTTTGATTTGCTTCTTTAACATGAAAATTGTTCCTATTAAAACATTCACGCTTGCATCACTTCAGCCAGTAAGTATACACAAACACTACCACTGCAAAGCTTGCTGGTGTTGTCAGGGAAAAAACCAAAACCAACACTGTAAAGGAAGAGGGGAAAAAAAAAAAAAAAAAAAAAAGCATTTTCTAAACTGTGAATCATTACCACAATACAAAATTATGCAAAAACTCAGCTAAATGGAGATAATCCAAAACATGCTTTTCACCCCCTCCTAGTTCATGTGTGATATCTTTATTTGATTCCAGGTAACAGTGTTATCTGCAATCAGGTTTTCAATTATAGACGATACTATCTTTGATTTTTTGCTCAGAACTTCTTATTATCTTTTATCAGAAATTAATTATTCACTATAAAATTGCTTCCACAATGAGAACATTGAATAAAGTCTGATGCCTTCCCGATTATGTGCTTCAATAAACCAGATGTAGAAGTGAAGAACAGACATTTGAATAGCAATTCCAGTGTAATGTATTGAGCAGTGATAACAAATGTACTTGAAGTGAAATATTACCTGCATACTAAAATTTGTGGGTCATTCCTGGGGTGTCCGAAGGAACTTCTACAGTGCATACACTCTGTTTTTAAGAAAAGCTATGTAAGTTACTTGATCCCTCATACTGAGAGATTAAATCGCAATAAGTTTGGCAGTGGAACCCAAATGCTTTCTGAATATATAGAGGTAATTTTAAAAAAATGTTTATATTTGAGATGTAGAAATCCCTTATATTTAAAAAAAAATAAAAATAAAATCCAGAATGCATTCTATTTCAACTGCTTTGGAAGAAATAAAGAATACCTAGTCATCCTGCAATGTCATAGTCAAGCCTCTTTGCCTCATTCTGTACACACAGAACACCATTAATCACAGGACAAAAATATCCCTCTCTACACAAACTGCAAGGAGGGTACATTTACTTCCTTACACACCACATAAGAAATGAGAGGAAGGAACACAAACTCTTCAGAAGTTACTTTACCGAAACAGTATTTATCTTATACAAATTTCCTAAATACTTATAAAAATGTATTTGCAGAACTTGCTTTTTCCATTTTCTGTAACCCTCATAAATATGTGGATATGTGTACATACATACATATATATATATATATATATATACACACACACATATCAGTGAATGAGGATTCTACTTGGGCAGAGAGCTGATGACTGGATTACTGCCTATGTGAGTTTTGCCAGCTCTTGTATTTCTGCCATGCATGCCAAGCCAGACACTAGAAGCCTTTTTTGTTAAGGAATCAAAAAGATCGTAAATGTTTGTGCTTTTCTACCTTTCCCTTAAGTCTTGCACCACTACATTTTTATTTAATGTATCTCCAGTGTTACAGACCTTTCTTTTCATGCGTGCTTTTTTTCCTATGAGACACGTAGCTTTCATGTAAAACCCCCTAAAGAGCATTTCCATTAGTAAACTTCCAGTTTATCAGCAATAATCTCTGATTCAGATCTCTTGCAACAAAACTGATTCAGCATCTCAAATCCAAACGATATGCAGCTACTCAGGAATTACTTCTCCTACAGAATTGTCTCCAGGAGACCTTTGTTCCCCTTCATCTGGCAGTCACTGCAAATGCAACCTCCCTTTGGCAGCACCACTTCTGAGACTCAAAGTGGCCACTGAATCTCACAACTGCAACGTCCAGTGGAAGCCTTGCTGAGGCTCTGTTATAGCTACCAGTGCCTTGAAACAAATTCAAAATCTAGAAGAAGGTTCAGTATCAGTGCACAACCAGAGAACCTGTTTTTTTCTATAATAAAGTTGAGACAGAAGCAGGGATACATCTTACCTACACACCTGTGGAGCTTCCCAAAAGCTTTGAGACACACCATGCAAACACCAGCAGACACTGAACAATGTTTCCACTCAGAGTGGTCCTGATTTTGCCACCCTTCAGAGACGGTGTGTAAACAATGCCTGAGAGTTTTGGCCAGAAAGCATACAGTTATGAATACATGTCTTAGACAGAAACCAAAAGTGCAAACAGATGAAATTCAAATTGATAAACAACTTAGAGATGAGCTGGTAAGTTCATTTCTCTAGAAGAAAACCTACAGCCACAGTGCCAAGCTGCAAGCCATAGCAATGAAGGACGTGCAAAGCATTCGGCAAAGCCATCGATGTCAGGGAGCCCTGAGAGGGCAAGCAGCGCTTGGAAATGCCACTGCTTGAGCTCCTCTACAATGGAGGCAGCGCCAGGAAACAGATTCTGGGACCTGAACTCATGAATCCTGCGGGCAGCAGGCACACCCTGCTAACGTCACCTGTCCTGATGCTTAAAATCCAGTAAGACAGCTATGTAAGGTTGGAACTCAGGTCAGAGAAGATAGAAGGGCACGAATTAAATGCAGCCACACGGTCCTCTTCATTCACCTTCGTTCACGCAGCAACTGCCCTGGAGCGCCTATCGAGCTGCACGGCAGAGCAAGGGCCTTCCCCGTCCATCGAGCGTTACTTCTGTTAAAGCTGAAGGAACGCGACGGGCAATGCACGAGCCACCCCACTTGTAAGGGCATGACCAGTGCGAAACGATGCTGCCCCCAGGAGCACGGAGCCCGCTATTGACAAGAGCCTAGCACCGATAGCAGAGAGATAGCGCCAAGCGTGCATAGATAACCTCGCTCCAGTTCCTTGTTTCTGTAGATGACAACCGCGCACGGACAGCCCCCCTCATAGCGCGCTGCCGCTCCTCTCGCCCCCTCCCTCACAGCACGCCGCAGCTCCAACGGCCGCCGGACCCCACCCGCCTCGCGAGCCTCGCGCCTGCACGCATGCGCAGAGCCCCCGCACGCGTGCTCAGAGCGCGTCCCGTCCCGCCCACTACCAGCAGCCTCCTGCCGCGGGGCACTCTGGGGGCGGTAGTTCTCCTTCCCGCCACGGAGGAGGCGCGCGGGCTCCCACGATGCCTCGCGCGGCCACGTGACCTCGCGCCGAGCTTGCCGCTTCCGTGGGGGCGGGGTGAGCGCCGGCGGGGCCGGGGGTCCTCGCGCAGCCCGGGAGGGCGGGGCCGCCCGCAGGTAGCGGGGCGGGGCTGGCGGCCGGTCAGCGGCGGCCGGGGATGGCTGCTAATGGGGTTGTGCGCTTCGGGGCGGCTGTGGCCAGGCGGGAGTGACGCTGCGGGGTGTGCGGCGCCGGCCTGGGACTAGATGTGTCCTGTCCTGGGCTTTGGAGGAGGTGTTTTTCCACGTGAGGAGCGGCGCCCGGCTGTTGGATCCATCGTAACAACTGACCGACTGAGCTCCGGCAGCGCCGCTGCCTCGTACGGCTGTCCTCGTTCCCGTGCTGTGTCTCCGTGTTTTGACCGCGCGTACCTGAGCGGTCGCGGTGTGCTCCTGTAGCGGGACGCAGAGCTTGAGAGACGGCTGAAGGCCGTGCAGGAGGGCTGAGCGCCTGCCCGCTTCGCTGGGCTGACAGCCGGGTCCTCCCGCTTGGAGAAATAAGCGACTGCTCGGCTTTGGAGGGACTAAAGCCCCGTCGAGGTGCAGTGTGATGTTTCTGCGCCTCGTTTTCCTTCCTTTCGGAGGATAAGAAATCAGTCTGCAGGCTGTAAGTCAGAGGAAATGGAAGAGAGGAAAATCAAGAGGAGGAGCCCCAAGTCATCCACCGCCCATCCCGTGCCGGTTGCTAACTCCAAGAAGAGCTCCGTGCCGGTCAGCAAAAGCACCGCCTTTTCCAATCCCGCGCCACAGCCGCCGGGGCAGAAACCAAAGCTAAAACGGTAAGCCTTGCGGGCTTGATGGAAACGAGCCACAGCCCTGCCGGTGCAGGGCAGCCTTAAGGGTGTGTAGGCTGACAGGGAATGAGAAACGAGAGGTTCGGGCTTGTGAAAATAACCCATTGTGACTTTAACAAAGCAGATTGAAAAAGTAACTATTCTGTTGTATTAAAAACAAAGGAGGAAGCTGTGCCATGCTCCTCTTGTATGCTTTCTATAATTTTATGTAATGTTGTAGGCTCATACTGATAATTGAGTTGGAGATCTGATAGTCTGGTGTGATTGGTCAGATACAAGAACTGGGTGAAAAGAAATTGGTAAATATGTACATCATTATGGAGATAACAGAGCCCCAGTTATACAGGTATGAGGAGCAAATAAAGTATTTAATGACTGCAAGATTGGAACTGGGTAGTAGGGCAGGAAATGAAGAACATGAGTTGAATAGGATGAGCTGGAATAGGAATTTGCAGATGCTCTTGTTTGGGGAGCTGTCAAAGACAGCAATAGCACTTAGGCCTCGTGCTTGCAGAGGGAGGCATTCGGGTTTTAGGAAAGTACAATTTTGGAATAGTTTGTGTGTTATTGATGCTGTCTGTAGTTCCATTTGAGCATGTTAATTTTCTTGCATGTTAGAAAAATACATTTGTTGGCCATGAACAGTAAGAAACAGTAGATTAATGAGTGATGAGAAATTTTTAAAGTGAAGTATTAGCTGGAGGGGTGCAGGGGAATTTACTGAGCTGTAAGCACTGGGAAACACTGAGTATATTTTCACCACAAGCACTTCAAAGATGACATGACTCAGAGCCCATTGTATTTCCACGGGCAGTACAGATTCATCAATTACCCGTGAGATAATTAATATATACACACCTATCTCTAACATCTAAAAGTTATTATAGTTCTGCAAGCAAGAACTAATCACATAATACAACAATTCAACAGCTGTATTTCCTGAGAACATGCTACTATTGTTGATTTACTTCTTCAAATCACACTTCTGGAATGTGCTACCAATGTGATTCTTGTAGTATGGGCTGGAGATTCTACCTGCTTTGGAAATAGCTTCTAGGTTCTGGAAGATGTCAGCGCTCAAGTAATCACACCATTTCTCAGACATTCCAATGGGAATGGTAACTGACATAGCAAGATGAGGATGGGTTGTTGCTACAGCAGTGTATAGGGGTACTTTCATTTCATCTGCAAGAATATAATGAAATATTTTTTGTGGGAGCAATACTATGTTGTATTAAACTTAAGATGTATTTGGAAAAAATAGATGGCCTTTCCTGTATACAAACATTTCTATAATTCTGAAACTGAAGTAGAAATATCCAAAGGTAAACCTCAGTTGAGATCTTTACTATGCGAGTGATGAGGTGGTGGAAGAGGCTGCCCAGAGAGGTTGTGGATGCCCCATCCCTAGAGGTGCTTAAGGCCAGGTTGGATGGGGCCCTGGGCAGCCTGGTCTAGCATTAAATGGGGAGGTTGGTGGCCCTGCATGTGGCAGAGGGGGTTGGAGATTCATGATCCTTGAGGTCCCTTCCAACCCTGGCCATTCTGTGATTCTGTGACCTGTTGCCCAGAGATGAACTGCATGGATAACCATTGGACCATCACTTAGTTCAGCATATAGGCAATGTCTGTATGACATTTACAGACATACAAGCTGTTATTTTCAAAACATGGGAAGGAATGGGTTTACTATGCTGTAAACCCTTTGTCTTTGCTAATTAATTCTCTACACTAAGCCTGCAACTTTCTTTTTTTTTTTTTTTAACTGTCCCATAGAGTCTGAATTTTACTTCATAGGCTCACCTTTTCACTGAATCAGATTCTGAACTGGCTCACCATGAGTCTGCAGAAGCACTCAGTCTAATGTGAGAGAAAGACTATGTACAAACATTCATGGGCAAATGAGGGATGAAAACAGCCTTCTACCTGAATGAACTGCATTAGCATAGAATGCAATCTAGAGATAGAATGTGGCACTTCTCATTGGTAATTGCATTTAGTTGCCATATTCATTGCATGTTCATTTGTGTTTATGCTGCAATATAATCTTTAAGTTAAGATGGCTATTACGTACGTGTGCCTTTTTGATGTTTTCTGCCTTAACAGGAAAGCAGACTGTTAGAATCCTTATTTTACAGTATCAAACTGTCAAAATAGCGATTTTTTTCTTTATTCTCAGTACAAACTTGTGATCCATTTTTTAATTTGAATGGAATAATTGAAATATGTATTTTCATTTCACAGCCCAGTTGTCAAATTATCCTACATTTCAGCTTCTCAAAGAAAGTGAAAGCAGAAAGTAATGTTATTGTTTAACCACTTCATTTCTTCAGAGTAATAAAAGAGAAAGCCAAACCTCCAGGAGGAGAAGCAAAAGGGGCACAGGCAGCACCAATCCAGCATTCATTCCTCACAGATGTATCGGATGTCCAGGAAATGGAAAGGGGACTTCTCAGCCTCCTGAATGATTTCCACTCTGGCAAACTTCAAGCATTTGGTAAGTGCATGAATTGCCTGTATATAATGGTTGCCTTTATGTTATGGTAACATTTGCAAATAAATGTGCTATCTGGACAAACTGCTGGTTTAATATTAGCCTCTGCTATATGAAATCAAGTTTAACATAACTTAATAGGTCATACCAGTAAAATGTATACTCTAAAAAAGCTGTTATGTGGTTGTCAGAAGTTCAGGACACCATAACACTAGATAGAATGACAGAAGCTTCAGTAGTGAAAAAGGAAGAAATAATCTAGAAAGCAAACAAGCTTATACATTTGAACACCAGATTTACCTTCTCCAATGTAAAAAGCTGTTGACTTCACATTTCCACTTGTTCTTTCAGGTTTTTTTCTCTAATGCTGTCATTTGTCCTCTTAGGAAATGAATGTTCCATAGAGCAAATGGAGCACGTGCGGAGCATGCAGGAGAAACTTGCCCGCCTCAATCTGGAGCTGTATGGGGAGCTGGAAGAACTTCCTGAAGATAAAAGAAAACTAGCCAGTGACTCCAATCTGGATAGGCTGCTATCAGATGTAAGTACAGAGAAAGCAGGAGACGCGGAACTTGGTCGCCAGACTTAGGCTCAGGAGTAGAACAGTAGTGGAAGGACAGTGATTCTGTGCACAGGCTATAGCCTAAGAAATTTACAGTCAAGGAAAACATAGTTTTGTAATAAGTCAAGACATAAGCCTTACCTACTTCATCTTCATTTTGAGAAAATATGCTATGTTGTGGGTACTTATTGTAGACTACTTCTTGAATTAGTGAGTGGAGCATTCTGGTTCCACTGTCTGATGCAGGCGTCTTTAGGGACTGCTTATGGATCGGAGGATGATGATCATTTTCCTGTGGCCCTTCCTCCTACACAAGGCCACGCAAGGAACTCAGATCTACATATTCTATGCTTTCACTTTCTCCTTTCTGTAGTGTGTTTAATTACTAAAATGTAATTCTCATTAACAACTAAATTCTCATTAACAACTAAATTTCAGATTTTATTGTTGAAACTGTTAAAATTTCATGAGATAAGCAAATTTAAATTTCATTTGGGGACTTAGTTCTGTTCTTGTAGAATTCAGTGCAGGTCTGTTTTGTACAAGAAAGTAATCCATTTCAGTCCAAACCATTAATAATTTCCTTTGTTTTAATATATTTATTTCATTATATCAGCATCATCATTGCAGCTGAAATGCCATTTCTGATAATTTTAACATTTATATTGCAGCTGGAAGAACTGAATTCATCTATGTATCCTTTTCTTATATGCTTATTGTGCATTATAATTATTAACTATAAGTTATGGTCTATTTCTTGAGTAACTGGTGTCTGTCTTGTAGGCAAATCTTTTCAAAAATGGCCCTTCTTCAAAATTAGTACCGTAACATAGCTTAGATTTTAGGTTCCTCCTATATATAAGTTACTGAATTTTAACACTTAATTACAGGACTTTTTTTGTATAGTGATTTATTTAGCTAGAATTCAACTCTTTAGACAATGTGTTGATTGTAGATGACAAAGCCAGCAGTGTCTTTTCACTGAGAAGCTCTGGACAAAACACACACACAATCATGTTTCTTTTGTATTATTCAGAAACGTTCTGTCCCACTGATGACTGAATTCTATTACCTTTTTTTTCTTCCATCCCCCATAGAAACATTATCACTGATTTTACTGTGAACATTGGGCTAACCTTACTTGTTATTTCTAGAGTTGGACTACAGTTGCATTGATTACTTAGCTGAGCTTTGGTAACAAATGCATGCTCTTAGCCCATTAAAAAGATAAAGCTAATTGTCTTGGCTTGCGTTTTCAATAAGCTGAGAATACATACAGGTGAGGAGTGTTGCATTCAGTCTAGTTATTTCTGATTTTACAATGCTTTGTTTGCATTAAGTGGGACTTGGGATACAGAGAATGTACATATCAGTGCAGTATCTGTGAGATGCTGTGCAAGGCAAGATCTCATGAACAGTGCAAATGAAATGCAATACCACGCAACAGTAATAAAACTCATCTGCCATCCCCCCTTCATCTGCCAGCTAAAGCTGGAGGTAAGCAATGCTTAAATCTCAATGAGGAAGATTAACACTTGAAAGCTAGCGTAGAACTCAGTAGAATTGAACTAATCTGTTCTGGTGCATGCCTATCACAGGACTAAGTGTAGCATAGCTTAATGTAACATTGTTATCTTATATTGTATCTATATTTGAGAACATTATTCCTTAATGGCCTGCTTCAGCCAAAAACTACATTTAGCAGATGCTCAAGATATTCCAAATAGCACCACGGGCTGAAGAAACAGCTTTTTCAGTTTGGGTTCTCGTGTAAGCTTTTCTTTTGTGGGTTTTTGTTTTTTTTTTTTTTTGCTTTTTTTTTCTTGCCACTGTAATCTGGAATTGGTAGCTTTTAATTATTTATTATTTGACACAATGAAGAATCAAAGTGCAAATCCAGGTGTTTACTTTTGCACATTCCTTTGAGTACTGCTTTACATCAGGACTCAGTCTCTAGAGATTTAAGCGGGCTGTTGTGATGGTATGCTTTATATCATTGCCTTATTTAATAGGAAAACACTGGGAAACACAAAAGTAAATTTATTCTGCTGTATTGTTCATATTGTTGCAAATGATGTATAAGTTCATTAGCATTTCTCCAAATTTTGTGAAGGTAATGCTGTTGTTGCCTTTCTGATCAGTTCATAGACAATCTGCACACTAGCTTTAGTGTGTTTTGTTGACCAGAGCTGCCACTGAGATTTTATTGTTAATAAAGACATTTTAAAACTATATAAGATTTTATTTGAAGAAGTTATCTATTCAGCTGTGTTAAGAAAGAGTTCTTGCATGGTCTGAATGTTTGCAAGGTTTACTTTTTTCATTACTGTGAATAATTATTAGTTCTGTCACTAAACAGAACTATCATGCATGCTAGAAGTGCATATAATTTAATTAAGTTCTGTCACATTCAGAGATTCAATAAGGTCATTGTTCAATAAATCTGTTATATGTAATTTTGCAGTTGTTCCTATATTATAAATGATCTGGTAGAAGTTAATATCAAATTCACAGCCTGGGGTATTAGTGTATTAGTAAATACACTGTATTAGTGTAAAATAATGCTGTCTTTAGATCCAGAATTTCTATCTTTGCTCATCAAACTATGCCTTTGGTTATAGATTTTTTTACATTGTTCTTAAATAATACACCGAGATTCTATACTGTACATACTTACAATATGAGGATAAAAATCATTCTTCTACTTAAGAACAAAGCATCAGTCCATTGTAGGCAAGCCAACAGTGAATAAAAGATACCAAACTGGAGAAGATGCTTCAGCGTTAAGACAGTTGAAAATTCCATTAGCTGCAGCTCCACACACAGCACCAAGTCTGCACTGTGAAGCTAAAGAGAGGAATGTTTTTCAAACACCAGTGCGCTGTAGCTTTGGCTCCAAATTCAGCTTTAAATACTTGTATTTCCTACCTCATCTAACAAGCATATCTGTGGTGAGCCAGTACGATCCCTAGAGGCTCTTCCTTTAGGATGTTCTTGTTCTCTTCACAATTTACCTCCTTCTTTAAGATTCTTTAGGGGTTTTGCATACTGCTTAAACTACCTCCAAGTCCCAGACTGATACTGGATACATACTTGTGATGTTCTGAAGAACAGTTTAGAACTAGAATATAACATGCAAAATGAGGCCTAATTATTTGTTTTCTCTCCTCTTTAGCTAGGAACTTCTCACTGTCAGTGCTATCACCTTGTGTTTACATACTTCAAAACATCAAGCAAAATTTACATCTCAAGAGATGTTAAGACCTGATGCTAGTTAGGGTGGCAGAAGTCATTATAGCTGCATTTAAACAAGCAAAATTACGTTTCCGCTGCTAACTTCGGTTCAGGAGGAGAGGAAAGCAAAGCCTCTGGAGACTGAGCATGTCTTCACATGGTAACAAACTGATCACATTTCTAAGCTCTTGAGTTACTTAGTGTAACATATCTGCAGGCAGCCACTTGCAATTAAAAATTACATAACCCTTAAGTGGCTACAGAAAGTTAATTTCTGTTACCTTGTTTCCTGAAGAGTTATTGATGGAGATAAAAATGTATTAATCTTGAATGTTTCCTACTCAGAACATACACAGACAGTAGAAATGATAGCCAGAGACACTATTTCCTGCATTGCCAGTCTAGATTACATTACTCCAAGAGACTTCTATTGAACATCAGTAAGCCAAAAAAAGAAAACAGAAGTCAAGAAGAAAGACTAAGAAAAAGATGTCTCCTCCAAATCCCCTTTTCTTAGACAAGTCAGTGGTATTAACTGCCTCTTTCTTCAAAAGTACTGAAACAAAGTGTTCAGACAGATCTTCTCTTCAGCAGATAAACAGGACACTAAAAATAAGCTTTGACCTAAGCAGACAACCACTGATTTTTTTATTTTTTCTGAGCAAGTTTGTTAAGATGTCCTGTGCTGTCTCCCTGCAGAGTTATGTTTGGAAATTCTTGTGTGAAATAAAGGCAGCAAATTTTTCAAGGCATGATTCTACTAGCATTCCAAACATTTGATTTTACAACTATGGAAATGCAAGGATACAAAAATCAAAGGCATAAGAGCAAGGTCACCTGAAAAGGTGAAAAAGCTCACCTGGTTAAAAAATTACATAAATTTAGTCTCCCAGGTGTCCTGTCTTGGGACTGGTGCTCTTCATCAGGAGCTTAGACAGCAGGATTGAGTGTGTCCTTAGCAAGTTTGCTAATGATGCCAAGCTGAGCGATGCAGTTGATACAACAGAAGGAAAAGATGCCATCCAGAGAGGTCTGAAAAGTGGGCCCATCGTGAACCTAATGAGTTTCAATGAGGCCAAGTGCAAGATGTTGCAGTTGGGTTGGGCAATCACAGACTGATAGAACTCATTGAGAGCAGCCCTGCAGAGAAGGACTTGGAGGTACTGGTGTGAAAAAGCTGGACATGAGCCTGCAGAGCGTGCTTGCAGTCCAGAAGGTCAACTGTATCCTGGGCTGCATCAAAAGGGGTGGCGTGATTAAGTTCACTGTCAGTGATCTCATGCAATCACTCTGTCGTCATCACAGAACACGAGATTTCTTACCAAAGACAGCCTTACTCACTATAAAAAGACAGTGAGGATATTAAATAGGAATACATATAAATGCTCTGTTCACTTCCTAGAAGTACCAAATAGCAAGCAGTATGAAACTTAGCAGTAGGATCAAGAGATCGGACCAGGCCAAGTAAGCAACTGCACAGTAAATGGAAAGATGTTTTAATGTATATGCATCGATAAAGCAGAATAATCTAAATGCAGTCCTAGGTTTCAGCTGGCTCATGGCAAGGGACTGTCTCAGTTTACCTATTGTTATGCTCATGAAGATCATGAAGAAGCAAAACTGCATCTGAAATGTTCTTGGCAATAGCAGGCAAAACATTCACAGGAAAGCCAATAGTCATATATAGAAGGAAGAGTTGAGCAGAGCCAGCTGGTGAAAGGACTTTCTAGCTATGCAGCACTCCTCAGGAAATAGTCTAGGTACAGGAGATGCTCACCTTCCAGTGGGTGGCCTTATATGAGCCCAGGGTAACTCAACCCTGGGTCCACCCCTTCTGGTCAGGTGCAAACAATTTGCCTGTGCTCCCTGGGCCAGACACACCCTTTCATCAGGTGCTCCATCACCAGTTCAAGCCCTGACCTAGCAGCTCCCCTACACCAATGGTTGGAGTAAATGCAAACAAGCTGCAGATCAGTGTTTTCATTTGTACATTCCAATCTAGAAAGATTTTGTATCATGGCTAACAGATTGGTTGCATGTTTGCTTCTTTGTTTTTGAGAATGTGCTAGTATTTTATGAAGTTAGCTTGTAATAAAAAATATCAAACTACGACTGTTGCATATTATCTCCGTATTGTTACACCATATTATGTAATTAAAAATTGTTAAAAGCTTGCAGAACAACAACAACAAAAAAAAAATACTGTGCCAAATCATGCCCCTTCAGAAGAAATAAAAGGGTGCTTGTTTTAATCTTGCCAACAGACCAATTGAATCAGTCTCTTTAGAAAACTGTGTTAGGTGATCAAAATAGAGGAGGTAATTTCAACACAAAATACGGAATGACTCAGAATGCAGTAATTAGTAAAGGTGACAGAATGCACTGCACATAAGTATCAAAAATGTAGATGTCTGTGCTCACCTGATGAGGCTTTTGCACACAAACACCTCAGAGGATCTCAGCTTCTTTCTTCATCCTAATGAATTAACACACCTTTGCCTTCTGAGGCAGTTGTAATCACCATCTTCTGTGCCAGAAGTCCTTGCAGTTGATGGGTTGTAAAATCCAATGCGCTTTAATGGAAACTACGAGGGTTTTACCCACAGAATGTGACTGAAATCTGAAGTTTGCTATAGACTTGTTTCCTAAGGCAAGGCTGCTTGTTCTGTAATTGAGTTTGACATCTGTTCATTACTCTTTGTCACATTTGAAAGCTTTACCACCCTGGGAAGAGATCAAAGTGTGCAAAGTATGGATTTACAAGGAAAGTGACCGCTAAGTCATTTGTGCTTTGCAAATGTGAAAATTTTAAACTTCCTGCTTCCCATATGATGACAGCACTGAACGACTCTGCATTCTTAAACCTATTAAAATATAATATTAAAATAGATTGGCTGAACTGTACATATTCCTAAATCTGAAGTATCATTTTGTTAGGTATTGAATCAGTCCTTCTGCCAGAACAGCCAGGTCTTCAATAGCAAACAGAACATTTTACAACAGAACACTCCATTGCTTCCGTAAATGTATTCAGCAAAGTGTTGGTGAGCTGGATCCTGAGTAAGAGAACCACCACCACAAAGGCTCTCCAGGGAGGGTTTTCAGAAACGTTTCCAGAGTGCGTGTTGGAAAGCACAACAAAACCTGACCACCATCAGGTTGGCAGGACTGCAACCTCACAAATTAAAATGCTGCTCACTCTTCATTGTCTCTCCCAAGTGCAAGAAGCCTAACAAATAGCAGCAGGGTGCAGCAGTGGGAGATTCAAACATATTTACTTGGAAAGGCAATAATGGCACACACTTGGAAAAGCAAGGAAGGCAGGTTCTTCTCATTAATACCCATATTTTTAACATGATTTAGTAAGCACTATCTCCACATAGAAATTGGAAAATACTAAAAAGATGCAAACTTTAAAATGGCTCCTCTCTAGGAGGACAGTATCAGGGAGATTACTTTTTTCTTTAATCTCCAGCATTTGCATGGTGCTGTGCCTGCATTAGCTGAGGCTTTGCCTGTTCTGTGAAACACTGAGTGAGCAACGTCAAGGCAAGCGGGCTGGGAGGGGATGTAGCCAGCACAGCCAACTGAAGCATCCCCACTGCAGCACAGTGTTCTGCTCAGCAGTGTGAGCTCAGGGAAGGTTGGAGGAAGGTCATTACTGGTCATAAACAGTTAAAGCAGCTCGGCATTTATTATTTTGTAGGGTCAGGTCAGTTTGATGACATCAGCTAAAATAAAATAAACACTGTTTGAGAGTTGGGATAGACTTCAGCTGATAGGTTAATGAACTTTTTCAGATAAAATGACACAAGTAAAACAGTATAATTCAACACCTGGAGGGAATAACAGCCTAGAGTTACAACAACATCTGTTTTCATGTTAACAACTGTGATGTGCTACAAATATTTATGCAGCATTCAGTCAGGTGATTCTCCTATGTCTAATACCATTGTGTTCCTCTTTTCATCTCCCCTGACTTCCTGGAACCCTTATTTGCAGTGTCTCCTGAAGAGCAGCTGCTGAATGAACTTTGTATTGCCAAGGTGAAATACAGGAGAAATCAAGGGATTCTCTCCACTGATCTGTGCCTTATAACCTTGAGTAAAACTGATCTTTCAGTCCTGCAATCTCCAGCACAAAGGCAGATTTTTCCTTTTAAAACTACCAATATAGTTAAATATTGAAAAGACACTTGTTTGCTCTGCCATGATTGGTATATTACCAGCATATTCTTTAGTTTTTGACTAAATGCAAATCTGGATCCTGAGAAGCATTTTTGAGATACAAGTTTCTATATACATTGTAGCAGATGAAAACAAGCAGGAAAACAGACACAGAAACACACATATGAGCATTTCTGGAGTAATTGCTACTTTTTCCTAAGCAGGTGCCTACAAAATTCTTATTTTTGAATACGTAAGCCGAATTCAAAGCTGAATGCCTAGATGCCTCCATCAGTTCATCATTTTGATTCACGTACTTTTAGCACCAAATAATCCTTCAATCCTTTGTTGTCCTTTGATTTAAAAACAAACAACTAAATCTACCTTTTCAACGAAGTCTGAAACAGCTTAGTATGCAATCTTGAAGTAAAGTCTTTTATTCCCATTAGCTAACCATAAAAACTTCAGTAAGAATACACTGTAGTAGTGACAAATGATTCCCAATCAGGTACGTTTGGCACTCAGCAGACCCCAGCAAGTGTTCATATACACAAATGTTCACAATTTACAGCAACTGTTGTAGCACTCATTCCACTCCCACCTCCAACTGTATGCCAGGAGTATATCATCGATGTTGGTGTCTCCTTTCTCAGAAGGCAGCTGTTCTTTCAGATGTAGCCTCTTATTTGCCTTTTGAATGGATACAAGAGGCAACAGACTCCTTGTAGAAGAAATTCCTGATTCCAGGTGTGGTTCCCTACTGCAACATATACACTGAACACATTCTGCTGCATGAACCATCCATAACCTCTTCTATCAGCTTAAATGCAGCCTTACTTGAGCCAAAAAGAGAAACAGTCAGATCTTTAATGCTAGATGGAAAAAAAAAAAACCAAACACACCTGAAAGTCAATATTAAACCCTCTCCTGAAATAATCAAATTTCAAAAAGCAGTAATTTCAAAGGAACCTGTGGAAAAAAGGGTCTGTACTTTCCATTAGTACTATGTACAAGGATAACACCATACACTCTCCTTTGGCTGTTGACAAAGAAACATTTTTAACATTGTTCCCATAAAACAGCTACAGTTAGTAGCTTCCACTTCAACAAATATTAACAGAACACAACCATTTCAATTATTTTAATAGAGAAACAAGTATTGGACTTTCATGTGCTTTATTTCTAGAGAGCTTTACCATGATTAGTTCATCAATTGCATTGCTAAACATGCTGGAATTCTGCTTCTGTTAATTAAGTTGTATGGCTCTAAAAATGGAGTTCTGAAGAGTAAAACTGAACATTCAACAGCACATGAATTGCTTTATAAAGTACTTAAACTACATAAACATGAAAGTATGTTGAAAAGACTTTTTAATTAAAAAACTTCCAAAGAGTAAGAACTGCACTGCTATTTCTCCCTGTGGAAATTAAGACTGTTTTCTGTTTTGTTCAACTAGAAACAGTCAGGAGAACACCAATACTTTTTTCTTTCAGGTAGAAATTATTTTGAAAACATAAAATTGCTTTAAGACATCAACTCTGAGCGTAAATGAATCCAGGACGAGCAACTCAACTTGTCTTTGCCCTAAATAGAAGACAGAAACACAAGACAGCCCACTCATAAGGTACAGAGACACAGGAAACAACGCCGAAAATTTATTTTCTTTAGTTTATCCCACGTACAACATTTTTAGTATTAAAAGATCCCTCAGCTCAGGTAGTAAACAACTGCAAGTAAATTGAGGGGCAAATGAAGTACAAAGAGCCTCAGAACACTTAACTTAAATTGGGTCTACTTAAACATACTGTTTTAATAAAAGTGGCTTTTCTGTTTTGTATTTCGGAAATCATCTCTGCAGTTCAAAGATGGACAACGGAGAGAAAAAGCAATTGAAAAGCAACTGGAAAAAGCAGGTGGAATGAAGAAACAGGCACATCAGTAGCAGAAAAAGGCAAATCAAATGAGAAAGCAGATACTCCTCCAATCTCAAAATCTAAAGTAAATCATTTTGCAGGTGTTTAAGGAATGCATGTTGTTATTAAATACTAAAGACTATTTAATAATCTACGTTCACTTGTGCAGTACAGAGAACATCTCTTGCACTGTACATAATTCCTTGCCCCGAAGAACTTACAATCTAAGTTCATAAATAATGCCATCAAGTAGTTGGATCAAGATTAAACAAATGGAGAAGTAAATAATTTCCTAAGGTATTAAAGCTGGATTACATTACTTAGCGAGGTATCTTCTGAGCACTGCTGGCACTGATGTTTCTTAAAACCTAAGTTATTTTTCAGTTAGAAGCTCTTCTGATCAGAAAAAAACTGTTTAAGAAGGTACTAAATGATGCATAATAAACCACAAAAACTCTTAAAACAGACTTGTTGGAAAGATACAAAAATGTTCAATTTTCCTAAATTCTTCACTTAAGACACTACATAACATAGCACTCTGCTAGAAAGATACAGACAAGACTGTGTACACATATTAGAATGTAAAAGGCTCTTTACCCTTTAGCTTAAAATGTCAAACTCTTGATTAATGAGTCTTGCTGTTACAAACATAGGCTTAATACTAAAAAACACGAATATAAAAATAGCTCTATTTTCAAAATGCATTTAACTTTAAACTTGATTTAAAATCAATGTATTTTGATTACAGTGAAGTGACCCACTTTGCATTCTTTTAAAAAACAGTGTACTTACTACCTGACAAAATGCAACAGATGTGAATAATCCATTACCTTCAAGGTTCTGGTTGTTTTGCTTTTTTCCTGTTGCATAACCCTGGTTGTATCTTTTTTTTTTTAATGTTGTTTGGGTTTTTTTTTGTTGTTGTTGCTTTTTCTTGCAATCAAAGGTTTGCACTTAATCTATTAGCTTACAAGATGCAGCTAAAACGTAATCTTCACACCCATTTAGGTACTGTTTCTTAATCCATTTACATAGAAGTAGAAAATATCTTCTTTACATGCAACTATGATACTCTTGGTTTTCATACCAGGGAATCTCACATTGGATGACATTAAGCCACCTGTAACACTGTCTGAAGTGTTGGAATAATTTTAGTAATAAAGAATTAATCAGTCTGCAGATGATAACAAAAAAGGAAAATAGCTCATTTTCACGGGAACAAACTGCATATCCAGCAAAAAAAAAAAAAATCTGACTTGAGCTATCCTTTCACAACAGAAACAAATGTTAGAGAATTTCATTTAAGCATAAGAGTGAGACAGTGAAGATAAAGACTTCTAACATGTAATTCATTCAGTTTTAATTTTCAAAAGTACTCTCAAGGAAATCAAACTAGAAAAATAAAGACTAGGGAAGTATACAATTCTTTGACCCAAGTCAGTACCAGCATTTACTTTTTAAAAGTTACAGCTACATTTAATTTGCTTATGAGAGGATACAAAAGGAATATAGCCACAGATTACCAAGAGAAGTCAATTGCTTCTGACCAACAGCTAGAGATACACAGGGAAAGAAAATGGTCAAAAGATTATGCAACTATTTTGTCGTACATGCCACAAAACTACAAAAAATCCCTGCAAAGCCCCACCCCATTTGAACGAGTTCCAATTCCCATGTAAAGATGAATCAACAAAATTAAAATATTGTGCTGTTTTATTGGTGTAAAAATCACACAATTGCTAGTTCTGATTCTGCAGAGATACATCCATGCAGTTAAACATCTATGATCCCACAGCCAGAAGAAGCCATTAAATAGAATATCTGCTGTTAGTCAGCAATTAATGCAAATTTACATATGAGATCAAAAGGTGTGTATCATACAATATACAACAAATCCTAATACAGTACATCAACCTGAATAGCAGGATACACTCAGAGAACTCAGTTAATAGTGAAGCCTGTCTATATGCCAGAGAAATAAGGCCGGTATCCCAGAATTCCTAAGAAGCAAACCGTTCTTAAAAAAGTTGTTGTTGTTTTTTTTTTTTTTTGCTGGGAATTGACACATTACTTGACAATACATTTTGTTATAGTGAAGACTGGTGGATGTGATCTGTTATTAAAAGGTAATGTGTGAAACATGCAATTACAGGTGGTGCTTAGGAAATGTGTAATTATTATGTCGGGGATTTACACCCACCTCCTTCACAAAAAGGTCTGAAAAGGGTTTGTTTGAGGGACCACCAATTGTACCATAAGTCTTCATATGCATGCAGCTGAATCAGGGTCATGAACGGATAAAATGTGAACACCTGGCAAACTGTGTTTAGGTACTCTATAATGTATGCAACAGAAATATGAAACCAAATCCAGTTGATACTGAGAACAGCCTGCAAGAACTCTGACAACCTGTTTAAACTGGCTTATTGCAAAGAAGCAGGCTTTCTAGAATTGTGAACATCTTTCAAATTGTGGAAGGCAGTTTGGGAGGTAATATTGGCTGACGACAGATTTTTTTCTCTTTTCTGGCACACTAAAATAAATGCCACAGCAAAGGAAGAATTTGCATGTTGTTTCAAGTCAACTGATCAGCAATCCTCCTCTGCAAGATGTTTCAACAGGAAAGAAAGGAAACCACTAAAAAGTTCCAGTTGGAAATTTTGGCGACAAACTCTGCAAACTCAAGTCCAACAAAGGTCACGGATGTCCACAGAAAACGATGCGAGAGGCAGTGTCACATTGAAGGAAAAAGGTTTTTTTTTTTCCTGTACTGAAATTAAAATACTTAAATACAAAAGTGGACAAATTGACAAAACAGAACTACAACATTTAATGTAGAATAGAGTGCACCGAGCTAGACGCATGGATTTTTAAATAGGCTTTGAAACCAATACCCCTTTCAAAGTTAGTAAGTTCACAGTTAACGGCAGTAGGCTTAGAGGTGAGAGAAAGGTCGAAGTTGTTCCAGTTGGACTTCCAGGGAGATTCTCTCTTCAAGAACATCCTACAAAAGAAATATTTTCTACCGATTGATATCAAAAATTTTCTCATGTGATCAAAACTGGTAAACGTCAGCTCCAGTTTTGAGAACTAATATCAAGTCTTCTGTATAATCTGGAGAACTGTTCCCCAAAATCTGAATAGAACTGTTAGCACTAGCTAGTTGGTACTCTACTGAAAAAAAAACAAAACAGTGCTTTCCTCAGAAGTGAAGCCAATCAATACTACTTCATTATTTTACAAATCACCCCAAACCAAATTTGAAACCAGCTGCAAATTTAACTATGATGTTTTCAAAGAGAGTGTCTTAAGTTCAGAGGGATAAACTCTCATTTCAAATAAAGGATTTGAAACTAACAATTTTTTTTTTGAGTTTTTCTTCTTATGTGACATGTACTCTTTAGCAAACAGTAACAAACAGCCATGCCCAACTGTTTTTTAAATCAGCCCATCTTCCAGTTGAGATAATACCTCTTTAGATCACGTTTGTATTTAAGAACTTTTTAATGACTTTGGTACTTAGTTTCAGATATCATAAGGTAAAGAAGATGGCACAAGAAGTTAAGAAAAATGGTGCCTACATATCCAGTAAGATAATTGCTAACCCAGAGACATAGATGGCCATAACAATTCTTACTGAGCTGCATGTTTTGTATCCCATATACGTATGTGTATATGTTTAAAAATATTTATAATTTAAGACTTTAAGGTTTGTATTTTGCTTCAGAAGAAGCATGTTACTTCAGCTGCTCTTCTCGGAACTGCTTTCGAAGTACCTGAAATCTACATCAGCTACTCTGAATTAATGATAACTTCAGTTTTCTGTATTTTTATTTTTAGAGTAGCTGAAAGCAAACAAATGCATTAAAAATGTGTTTAGTAGTAGTGTAAACATCCTCTGCAATTTCACAAAGCCTGTCACAATACCTATGAAAAAACTAAATATTTTAAACTAGTGACTTCAATATATACACTCTATATATCACTGATCTCCAGAAATGTCAGCTAGTATTCTCAGGGTTTGTTTTTTTTTAAACAAAGTTTACTACATTACCTTTAGTTGCTGCTGTAGTTCGCTATTCAATCTGGCCAAAACAGTGTTGGTTTCCTTGTTGCGTCTGATTGATGCCTGAATTGCCTTCTTGTCCTTTCCTATCGATCTGAGAATATATTACAAGTATTTTAATGTCACTTCATTACTTAAACGAACATCTCATTCACAGTGTCTCTCATGCAAATGAACAGAAACCTCCTGTCAGAATTTTTAACTGTCAATTTTCTCTCTTTTGCCTGGCTTGATTAACCTTCCTTGTCTGTGCAGAAGACACATATACTTGATTTTAATGAAACAGTGAGAAGTACATTTCAAATTTTTAGAACTAATCCTCTGCAAACCCAACATACAGTCCAACATCCATTTACCTCAAAGTAACACTTGTGCAAGTTAAACGTTCACACTCCAAAATTCAAGATCTCTACAAGGTCTACAAGTAGCCGCTTCAGGATTGTCTCATTTAAAAACAAAAATCTTTAAATCATTAATTGATTCTAATTCAAGCACATTCAAGTTGTTTGCAATTCCTAGAATATAAAGCGTGTATTGCTGTTTAAATGTAAACTCCCCAATAACAGACGTATTTATACACTTCTTGGGTTACCTAGGAATAGATGGCTGTGAAGCAAGAACAGCAGCTATGACACCTGTTTTCTGTGTATGTTCCTCAGCTTCAGGTCTCAACTCATCTTCTGATTTTAATCTTCTGCGAATAGGCTTTGGTGGTGGAGCAAGTGGGGTAGTGCCTTTACCCTAAAGGGGAAAACAACAGCTTATTAATTCTCAGAAACTGCTTTTTTACTTGGATTATGTCATAATTTGTGTTACAACTCCTAGAATCAGTTATCTAGCTAAATTAATGTACACATCACACATTTTCTGAGGAACATCTAGCCGTATCTTGATATTGTACAGATTAAAAGAAGTGCTGAAGTTGCAAGCACACATCTGAGTGAACCCTTTCCCTCCCATCCAATAACTGCATCTATGTCATAAAGTTAGAGAAGAGCTTTGTGACGATAAAAGTTTTGCTCCTTTTCAAACACATTCATGAATACTTTTAAGTACCTTAATACTTCAGATATTTTAAGTATCTTAAATATTTTAGTGTATGTATTTATAGTAATGCTACTCACAAACCTTATGACAAGAATTTACCAAATGTCTGCCTATTTCTAGCACATATCGAGCCTAAGGAAACAGGGTTTAAGTGGGCGTGCATGAAGTTGGCACAGCAAATCAAAAGAGCCATGCAATTTCCTATACATGAGACAACTGTGCTCTCTTTCCACCTGTCCGTTGCATACCGCGCTAGTGGGGACATTAGCAGGTACTTTCTCTTCAACTCTTCCATCTGCTTTGGCAACTCTAAGAGAACTTGCAGAATCAGAGGGCTTTTCAACCTAAAGAGATATAAACTACACTTAGAAAATTACTGCTTAACAAATATTTGATTCAGCAAGTTGGAAAAAGTTGAATAAAAATGCAGAATTATGATGTGTTTCTGATATAAGGATGCAGTCAACATTTAAAATTCAAGTTCAAGTCTTTTTTAGAGGCACAGACTGGAATACAATAATGATACAGGCTTTGGAACAAAACTATCTTGATCGTGTCATTCTGAACTGGAAGCAGCTTACTGAAAAGGCACCTAGTAATAAAAAGCTGAGTTTTATGGAAGTCCTCTGTCATGAGGAAGGAAATACAGCTCTATAAACATTTAAATCTATTTAAAAATATGTTAAAGCTCTATTCATTTCTGCTATTTGTTCGATAGCACAAAACCAAATTACTGGAGTTTTAGCAGATATTTTTAACACCTGCCAACCATCTCATTTATTGGGGTGACTACTTTTAAAACTTATCATTTGGTAAGCCATTTCGGAAGCAAAGAATGAGCCTATTTTTATGAGAATATAAATTTTGCCTGTGCTAATCTTAAATGTTCAAACACAATTCTGTTTGTTTCCATCTACAATGGTAAACAAAATCTTCTGAGGTACAATCAAGAACTGAGAGGAAAAAAAATTTTTCTGACTAAGTGTCAGGTAGTTACTGAAGAAGCACAGCAATACATAATATAACTGCTTTCTACCAGTGGATTGGAGTAACATAAAATCTCCACTGGTTCAAAAACCAGAAGGTGGTTTCAACAAAATCATGTAACTGTTGGTAGTCCTAAACAGTTGTCAACATCTTCATTTTCACTCACCTGCAAGGCTTCTGAGTGTGTTTCAATTTCATCATCTTCCTCCTTGTTTACACCTGATGCAGCAAATGCCTCAAACTGACTGAAGTCTGCAAAATTTGGCTGTTCTGGTATTTGTTGAGGTGAGGTACTGGTATGAGATATTAGGCCATCAGCATCTACTGGGCGATGCACATGAGGACCCGCACCCTGCAATAAAGGGAAAAAAAGAATATTTAGCAACAATGCTCTTAGCAGTTATCAGATGCAAAGCCTCTCAATAAACAACAGTTTGTGACACAGAATTAAAGATTATTTGCTTTCTTAGCAGACTTAGTTATTAGAAAAACTAAACACATCCCTAAGACAGCTCGCTTTGTGTGGTTATAAAAATAGTGAAATAGTTAACCAAAAAGGGAGCCCTGCCAGATGTTCTGTCATCTAGTGTATGAGACAGAAGATACATGCAGAGTAGGAACTCACTGGGCAGTACATATGCTTCTGCTGTACCAGTGCAGCGTGGCTCTGTTAGACTGAATACATGTTTTAATTTAGTTCCTCAAGGAAATTTGATTGAGATCATACTCCATGGAGCATATCTGTCATTGCTGACTGATTTCAACGCATTTGATGAAAACAGAAAGCCAACTAAAGGGACATAACAAACAATCTAAGTGAGGAGAATGCACCATCAACTCAGACATTATTATGTATCAGAGAAAACATACAAGAGAGCACACTTACATATTTTCACTGTATAACCAGTTTCAAGCACAAAAGAAATCCAGGAGAAATAGTAGGCTTTATTTCTGATATTGTGTTCTAAATGACTCAGAAATAACTGCTGAGGGACTCAGATTCTAACAAGTAGCTGCTGCTGAAAAACAACTGAAAAGCAATTCTACCTGTTCCATGCAAGATTTGCAAAACAGTTGAATGATTAATCTGGTTGAGAAAAGAAAAAAAAAATTGTAGGATTTGTTCTCCACTAAATTGGCTAATTGAAATGACTCAGACCAAAAAGTCACCACATTCTTGAAAGGGAAGTAGAAGTATCATGCCTTTTGGGAGTAAACATTCTCTATAAAACCAAAACCTGTGCCAGAGACACGGATCCAAAGACAAGCATTTATTGTGAAACACTTTAAAAGATCTGTGTTATGGTTTTACAGGGACAGGTAAACAAATGCAAAAGTGTAACATCCCTCCTTTCATTACAACTTAGAGCTCCAAAGCCATTCAATTCCTCCTCAATCTCTAATTTAATTCCTTTGCATGGTTTCACCAGAAGCAATTCAGAAAAGGCCAGCATTTGCCTATAGTTTCACCTTTGAAATCATTCACACTCCTGTCATTTCAAACAACAAAAAAAAAGATTTTTGAGAAGTTTAAACACAGAGGTTAGACAGAGGTTAGATAAAAGGATCAGACTAATGCACCAAGTTAGAGTATGGTTTTACTGAAGGGATAGCATCACCTGTGAAGGCTGTGGTCTTGGAGGCACTGCAGGGGGATAGGCAACAACTCCAGCCTGTTGCTGTCCTGTAAGATGCATCACATTTAGTTAAGGTTGTTACTTCTCACATTACATCAGTATCTTATGTTTTGACTTTTCAAAAATGAAGAAATTCTCACTTTGCATAAATATAAGCCTATCATTTGGGAAGAACACTGCTGTAAAAATTTGAAATCTTTCAAATTTTCAAATAGATAAAACAAGGAATCAGAACATTAGTCTTGTTCTTGTCCTCCTGTCATACTTCCCTGATCTCAGTTTTCTTCTTTCACTCCCATTACCCACTGTCAACATTTCCTCTTTGAGATCTTGAGCCGAAAAGTACTGCAAATCATTAGGCAATATTACCAAAAGTGATCTTTAATCATTTCCTCACGATATTTAACCCCTATCTTTTTAATACATTCAATGCAAAAAGAACTCTTCTTGAGAATTTACTGGCAGATGCAATTCACTGCATATGGATGCACTACCAAAATGCATTTCCTGACTTTGCTTTCCACATTCATCCAGAGGGATGCATTGACATCACTTTACATTAAGACTTAAGTTATCTGTTTTAGCAAAGTAGTGTACAAATTTCAATACAAACTGTAAGAGTGACAACATTTTCAGCTTTTTAATTCAGAAGCAGTATTTTAAAAACACATTCTAATCCCTCTTCAGATGGAAAAAAAAAGTCTGCTTCAGAAATAAAGTACACTGGGAACACAAATATCTACCTGGGGTAACTGAAAAGGATCTGTTCATATCTAAAGATGACGACCGAGAGTGAGAAGGGTGAGGTCTTGGCGGGGGTGGTGGTGGTGCTGTGTTATCTGGAGATGTTCCTGAATGTGATCTGCAAAACATACAAAGCTCTGTAATGATTTTTGGCAGCTACAACAGAATTAAATTCAAGATTTCTTTTAAGTATTTAATTAAAAAGACTTGACAGACAGAAAAGAGCCTGATGATTGCCACTGATTCTGAAGAGTACAAAATCAATTTTAAACTTCTAGCAACCTCTGATTTCACATTTGTTTTCACATTTCTATTTACCTAAATCTCAATTTTCTAGATTATTCTCATAGTACTGCTAGCTATTCATATTTGAGCAAACAATAGTTTCTGATACACACTTCAAACAATCACAGCTCAGAAATACAGAATCTCAGATATGTAAATTTCATCCAGATGGCAGTCATGATTTGCAAAGCATGTTAAGATGTAGTCAACATCATAATTCAGTTTTACACTTAAGTTCAGTATCACTGAAAAATAATGTTTCTGTAGGATCTGCCTGCAGATATATCAAAGTTAAGCAGTATAACAGTGTATGAGATAGATATCCCAATTTCCTCCATGAGATTTTCCAAATCTATTTACGAGGTAGCATCTTCAGGAATTGCAACTTGTTCTTAGATAGGATCACCATCTAGTGGATATCTGTTGCAAGTTCATCAAACAATCAGAAATATCAGAGGGATGAAGTAGTGTGCTACTCAACTGGAACTTCAGTGGGATAATGGGGTTTACTGTATGCAGTATTTTTCTGCAGCTTCCACTTAAAAACAGCTTGAAGAAACTTCCTAACTACCGCACTCTGAGCAAGACAGATTCACTGGATCACCGGTCTGACACAGCGACTACTTTCCTTAACTCATACATGAGTGATGAATTCTCTGCAGGATGACCTTCTGTAACATTCTTCTACAAATGAAATAAAGCCAGGAGAGATAACAGGTACTCTAAGTTTCATAAAACACCTAAAACCCCTGAATGTGTTAAGTCCAGAAAGAAAAACAAATTATCAGAATAAAAAAATTTGCTTTTAAAACATACTCTCCAGGAAGATACTTTTGTAATATTATGTAACAATGACAATGAAAAACAAACCTAAACCACATCCTACCACTATCTTTCTAGCTAATCTGATAGAAAGTGCGATAGTAAGATAAAGTAAGGGAAAAAGTTGTTTACAGATAGTCCTGGTGTAGTCTTTTCTGTTATTGCTTTTTGAGAACACGTTATGTACTCTGGACTTATGGTAGTATTAAGGACAATGTAATATTTATAAACAAAGCTGCAATTGGTAGAAAAGGTATAAATGGAAGGAAAGAAGAGTGACTGAGATAATTTTCCTGGATGAATGTTGTCAGATTTGGCAGAGCTAACTAATAGCAGCTACCTGTACCAGAAAACAGTAGCTCATCAGAACGATTCACTCACCTACACAAACCAGCAAGAGAACTCACCCCAAAATCGAATAATATGGAAAATAACCAAGAAATCATCATCGTAATAATGCCAAAAATACACACAGAAGCAGGACAGAGAATCAGTGTTGCCATTAGGTAACAAAGGAGTAAAGAAGTTTTCAAGCTGCTGTACTGAAAGCTAACTGTAAATCTTTCTTCACTATTGAAATTATGATAATTATTTTCATTTTGAAACTTACCTCCAAATTGATTGTAAGATGGTTAATGGCGTAGCTGATTTTTAATCCTATTCAGGTACAGATTTAATGGGGACAATTAGCACCAGCTGGTACAAGACGTTCTTTTTGTCATATGATGCAGTTGTTGGTTATACATTTGTACTGCTTTACCCAATCCCTTAATTTATGTTGGGAATCTGGCTATCTTTCATTACATGGAAGCTCATTATTAAAAGAGATTGAGTTATTGTCATGATTTTTTTTTATTTTTTTATTTTTACACAATAAATAATCAGAAGGTCCTTCTCAATTAATGCCTAATGGATATTTTAAATACAAAAAATTGGTCTCAAGCAACATTATGATCACCTATGTTTATTTTCCCTCCCGTGTTCTTAGGGAGGTAGTCTTTTTGGATTTACTTGAGTGAACACAGAGTTTCTTTTCACTGGCAAATCCCATGCAACTCTGCAGACTTCACTGTTTTGTTAAGTTTCATTTGACACATTAGCAGGAACAGCATACATTCTAATATGTGAAAACACAGCCTGCCTCTAGATTTCTCACTTTTCAAGTCAGACCTGGCCACCATTTTATAGGTGTGCTCTCAAGCAACCAGAAGAGCTTAGCACAGGCCTCTTTAAACATATTTTATTTACTTCTTTAGTTGTTACTCTACTGACCGTTGCCGCGTTACAGCACTTCCAATTTGCTCTGGATCTGAAGTATAGGAGTCTGAACTGCTGTAACCATCTGCTGGTAAAAGAAAGTACAGTCAATATCATCTAACAGACATAGATAATATGAAAAGTTAAGTTTCGTAAGAAACTTAAGAAAACTTAAACAATCATATAACTGACTATCATGAGACAACATTTAAGTTTCCAGGGATCACTTGAGAAAATTAAGCTTAAAGCAGAAGGTGGCTATGTGGTGTATGAAATAATCTCTCCTCAAACATCTTTAGTAAGGGAGCCACGCAGGCTGTTATGCCACCTAGTGGAACAAGCGCAATCACTCTTCTAAGAAAAGAACAAGACCTTCTGGACCAAGAAGTTTTACATGAGCTCAGTATGAAATTACTGGTTTTCTGCTGGCAGCAGAATGTGGTTTTCTGAACTACTTTCAAAGCTGTTTGGAGAGTAAGTAATGGCTATATGAAGTAGAGGACGGTCATTCAGAAAAATGAATCTTCAGATGCCGCTAAGTCTAATTCATGAATCTGACCATAATCTCAAATCTAAGAGAATCCTTTTTGAGTGTTTCCAGTTACAGTTCCTATTAAGAATGATACTGAAAACTATGCAATATTATTTTTCACCTCAGGACTGTGGTTTCCGCTAGTAGCACAAATGAATCTCCAGTTTTGTTTGTATTTCATTATGAAGGGAGGTAATATACATCACCCTCCCATTCTAACTGCAGTATTCCACGATCTGGTTTGTGTCATTTAACGGAGTTTAAGACAAAATTATAGAATCACAGAATCACAGAATTGCCAGGGTTGGAAGGGACCTCAAGGATCATGAATCTCCAACCCCCCTGCCACATGCAGGGCCACCACCATTCCACCTAATGCTAGACCAGACTGCCCAGGGCCCCATCCAATCTGGCCTTGAACACCTCCAGGGACGGGGCATCCACAACCTCCCTGGGCAGCCTGTTCCAGTACCTCACCACTCTCTCTGTAAAGAATTTCCCCCTGACATCCAACCTATATCTCCCTTCCCTCAGCTTAAAACCATTTCCCCTTGTCCTGCTGTCAAAATTAACTTGTCCTTAACCACATGTTGAAACAGTACATTGCTTTCAAGTTAATGCTATCTGGAAAAACAGTAATTATTTTTGCTGCTTTTAGTTTTACTTGGTTAAGAACAATTTTGACACTGTGGGTGCCCACTAAGAATCTTCTCAATTACCACTTTTAATATATACTTTGCATCAGAACTGTTTCTATTCTCAGGATAAGTTTATCTCATTTAAAAGCTTCTGCATTTAGTAAGTTTTCATTCACTGATGAAAAATCTACATTTTGCTTAACATTAAAATGAGAACAGAAGGCATTTGATACTTACTAACTGTATTTCCAGATGTGTATTTTACAGATGAACTCATTTTGTTTTCTTCTGGGAGATCAGGTGGTTTCACAAGTAATGGGCTAGTAGGGTTAGTATGATCTGAACAGAAAAATAAGTTTAAATAAACAAGTGTTCTCAAACTAGCTTTTACTTCTGACATTAAAATGTTGCAATTGCTTTCTATGTCCTTATCTGAAATGCTGTTCTGAAGACTAAAATCATTACACTTTAAAATTCATACATCAAGTGGTAACTTCGAAGTTTTACGTTTTAACTGTGCACATTTTTCAGTGTTGACAGTTGTGAATCTTCACCTATTAATTAGGCTAAAGAAACATTAAAAGAAATGTATTGTGAATCATTTCTTACTCCTCATATACTGAAAGCTGCATATGAGTAACACAGAAATACAAAGAAGTACTGGCATATTAGGCCAAATCTATAATTGAGACTGTGGCCTCCACTGTTCAAGTAAAATTATCAAAGAACTGAGTTTATTCTTGACTAAAGGATAAAGTAGGCCTATACTTTATAGTAGGCCTATACTGAATACTTTAAAATGCATCAGTCTTCAAGACAATAAACAATATTTCTGACTACGGGGTAATAAGATGTTTCTCCAAAGCTCTATTTCCTGATAAATGCAGGATTTGCCAAACCTGTGTTCTCCATCTTATAGAATCATAGAATCAACAAGGTTGGAAACGACCTATAAGATCATCTAGTCCAACCACCCTCCCATTACCGCAAGCCTCTAAACCTTATCTTGTAGCTCCTCATCCAGACACCTCTTGAACACTGCCAGGGACAGGGACTCCACCACCTCCCTGGGCAGGCCATTCCAGTGCCTGACCACTCTCTGCGAGAAAAAGTTCTTCCTCATGTCCAACCTAAACCTCCTCTGGTACAACTTGTGGCCATTTCCCCAGGTCCTGTTTGTTGCCTGGGAGAAGAGGCCAAACCCCTCTTCACCACAACCTCCCTTCAGGAAGTTGTAGAGAGCAATGAGGTCTCCCCTGAGCCTCCTCTTCTCCAGGCTAAACAATCCCAGCTCCCTCAGAATTTAATAAAGAAACCCAAATGAAATCGGTACCTTGCTGCTCCAGAATTACTCCAAGCAATAATCTTTCGGAAATGGCTGATCTAAACTCTGCATCTATCTGGAAAGCATTGTAACTCCTAACTCGAGAGCCTCATCAACTGTTATGCTGCTTACAATTTCAGATATTTTCGATTACAAGAAAACAAAGTCAGGATTATTTAAGGAAGCAAGTTAAGTTTATAAAACTTTCTTGATTAACAAGGGAAAGTGTCCTACCACTTCCAGTTCTTTTAAGCTCCATTTCCTGCATGTGGATTTTGCTTGGAGTCATCCTTATAGGAACTGGGTGCACAATTGCAGTATCCTGTGGAAGAGATAGATTAAGTTGTGTTAACGTAGTTTTAAGTTGTTCTATTAAGAGTTTGACATCATGTGAAATGACATTTCTAAGGAGAAAAAAATCATAAATCTAATTTTACACAGTTCCAGGGTATTTAACATACCTATGAAACCAAAGCTGTATGAGCTGAAGTTCCTCTATCCACATATAAAGTATAATATGGCGTTCAATTTAAAGAGGGAATTCTAAACATTCTGCAAGGTAACTGTGACTATATGACTCAAGTTTTGACAACTTTCCATCATTTTTGAAATACTAGTTAATATCTGCTATTCCAAGTGCACCTGCAAAAAATTCTTTTCAAAATTCCAATCAATTTATGATGCCTCAGAAAATTACAGGCTTTAAAATAGTATGACTGATTTGCAGCAAGACAGGGACTTTGTCGTAAATTAAGGCCATCAGTTTCAAGAGTCTTTAAAATAGTAAAATCTTTGAAGTTTTAGTATAAGCAATGCTATGGACTAGATCTTTTGATAGATTTGCTTTTACAACTTCCGCATTTTCTTTACAGTTCAAACAAGTGACTGGAAAGCACATCAAGTTTCAGAACTGCTCTAGTATGAGAATCTGATTTTGACTACTCAAGTATATCATTTCATCAAGAACAGTTATGTTTACATGATTAATTCTAGAACTGTTTAAATTGACTTGCAGTACTTGTTGCAAATATAAACTTTTAAAACCACTTCTTAGATACAGCTCAAACACTGAACCCAAATGATTAGGCCTTTATGTTCAACCCCATAGGGTAACCATTAACCCTTAACCATAACCCAAAGGGTGTAACGCTTAACTCTAACACAAATTGGTAACCTGAACCATAGTACAAATGTGTAACCCATAACCCTTAACCCTAACAAAAAAGAGTAAGGTTTAACCCCAAACCAAAAGGGTAATCCGCAACCCTTAATGCTAACACAAAAAGGAAACCAATAACCCTAACTCAAAATTTAAACCTCTTTAAATTTAAAGCTCCTTAAATCTAACCCCAAATTGTAACTCATAACACTTAACGCTAGCCCACAATGTTAACCCTTACCCCTAACCCAAAGAGGTAAACCTTATTCCTCTGTAATTGCACTGTTCAGAAATCATTCTTGCTGTAGTTATTTCAGTTCTTTACTCTAATGTACGGCTACTATAAAATAATTTGTTTCAAACAATTAAATGAACTTTTATAGAAGTATTAATACAGATCAATAATCAAAGCACCTTAACACGTTACCAACTTTCTCTTAGAGAAGTCACCTTCATATACCAGGAGATGAATGTCTATGAATTTACTCTTTAGTCTGCTATGAAATACTCAAGCAATCTAATTAGTTAATTCTCCCCTTTGGGAAAGCAAGAGTAGTTTGAAGAGAAAAAACAAAACAAACATTTAGTCCTATGCATCACTGTTGAGATTTAAAATAAGTAGTCTGAATACTGCCAGAGAAAATTTGCTCTCAGTTATTCTTATTGCAGTTTTAAAAAAATTTACCAAACATCAAAGATGCTCACCATTCTTTACACAAATCTTATCAAGACCAAGCATCATAAGTAAAAAAAATCACTTTTCCAATATAAATTTATTTGAATTTCTATTTACACACACATGCATACACACACACACACACACACGAGCTACATGAGTTTTCTACACATTACATTTCTACTTTCAATATTAACTGCATGTGGGAAAATTTTGAATGTCAGATTTCTGTCCTTGAATAATTATGTGCAGGAATAAGCTGTCATCTTACTGGGGAAACGAGGCAGTGGTAGCTCTATACTGTTAACTAATTACAGCAGTAACAGCAATAATTTTTGTAAGAAAAGCAGGAGGAAAAGCAACTGCTAAATAAGTAATTTTAATGCATTTCAGAATCATTTCAATGTTACATGCAAAACACTGTAACAGATCTTAGGCTTCAAAGCTTGACAGGATCCATCACCACTTAAAGCATTCCTCATTAGGTAAGTCATTATAAAAGCATAAGCTTAGCCAGAAAGATAAACACAATAACTAACTAAATAAAAAATATAATTACTAAATCAGTGAAAACACTGGGGCTTGATACATTACATCCATGAATATCTGACAGTTTTTTCAGTTAAGTAAGGTGTTGGCAACACCTACGATTATGTATTTTGCAGCTTGAAAAAATACTGAAGATAGAATCTGAAAAAGGGACTAATAAATAATTTGGAGTGGCTCTTGAATTACCTTATATTTTCAAAAAACAGTATGTTTAAGTATTTCCTCTAATAGCTTTTGAAAGCAGTGTTGGATCAAAATCAAGAAAACAAACATTCACTGCACTCAATGTTAAATGTGAGAAGTACCAGAAAAACTCTATTCCTAGAAATAAGCAAAATAATTAATAAGCTCGTTACCATTCCCAAAAAGAAAAAAAAAAGGAGTTCATGGAATCATGCATAACAGCTATATACAATGAATAGAAATTCAGTGTTAATAAAATTAATTTCAAACAAGCAAGCTAAGTGATTGACTTACAGGATCAGCTGGTGCAATGTTAGAATCAAATTGGGTCAGAGTTTGTGAGCTTGAAGAGCGTTCGCTAAATGTCTCCCACTGCTGAACAGACAGAGGAGAGAAATCAGCATGATGAGAAAGATGGGAGTAAAAGATCACCAAGGAGACTTAGCATAGTAGTTTGGAGGTTGCACTAGAAAGCACTGTATTTGCACTGGGCAGTTCTTAGAAGCTACACAAACACATGTCAAATCTTTCTCTTTCAGTTTGAGACTGCACTGCAATCAAGTTTGTTACCCGTCAGTGTTCATCTTTTACTTTCATACTTCATAGTGAACACACAGGTGCACAGTTAACTCAAATATTTTCAGAGTTCTTGTAAAAATTACACAAGTAGAAAAAAACTGTTAAGCCAATCAAATATTATTGAGATTCAGTGCCACATGTTTGTAAATATAAAATCCACAGAAAGATTCCTCAGCTTTATATAGTTGCCCAGTTTCAAATATAGTTAGGAGGCACTGATTTTCTTACAAAATCTCAGACAAATGAACACTGAGCAGAGTGCTCTAATTATACTAGTCCGGCTTGCTAGTGCAACCCCTGAGAAATGATTCTATTCAGCAAGAGTATTTTTACAAGTCTAAATCACTGACAAGGCAAAGAATTAAATTCAAACATACCACTGATTGTTAAAAGCAAATTAAGTACAGTTTTACAAGATATAGGCGTGCTGTATCAACACATAGTTGTCAAGAGTCCTCATGCTTAATAAGTCAAAATACTGTCACAACTGGATCGATGAAGTAGGAAAATACATAAAATTAATCTGATCCAGAAACTAAATGGCAAATCACTACAGGATCATTAAACTCGTATCTTGGCATTACAACAAATATTAGCCAAGTTTCAAACAAGGTTTTTAGAAGATTTTTAGCACTCAGAGAGACTAAAATGTTAGTATGGTCACAAAAACAAATCAATATTCTTGTCCCACCTCTGTAGGTAAATCAACATGTATGCTTTCAGATGATATTGAGCACAGTATATTTTGTTAGTCAACCTAGTATCATGCACTCCCCTACATGAAACCATGGTCAATGAATGAGTGAGCCATATTCAGGCACACACAATCCGGTTCCTGTAGTGCTTGGAAGGTAACTTTCTGACAGGCAGTGGAGGAGCCAACAAGGAAAGGTATGCTGCTGGACCTTGTTCTTACAAATAAGAAAGGCCTGGTTGGGAATGCAAAGGCAGCCTTGGATGTAGCAAACATGAGACAGTGGAGTTCAGGAACTTACATGGAAGAAAGAAGGCAGTAAGTAGGATTGCAATGCTGGACTTTTGGAGAACCAACCTTGACCTCTTCAGGGACCTACTTGAAGGCATCCAGTGGGTTAGGGCATTGCAAGGTAAGAGGGCACACAGGTCAAGGAAAGTGATTTCCCCCTCTCCTCTGCCCTGGTGAGACTGTATCTAAAGTGCTGTGTCCAACTCTTGGCTCCTCAGTTTGAGAATGAATGGGAACTTCTAGTGGAGGACCACAAAGATTAGGGGACTGAAGTGTCTCCCGTATGAGGAAAGGCTGAGAGACCTGGGACTGTTCAGCCTGGAGAAGAAAAGACTGAGAGGCAATCTTATCAGTGTTTAATATACTTTTAATGGGTGGAAGTCAAGTGGATGAGGCCAGGCTATAGGCAATGAGGGGCTATGGGAACAAACTGGAACACAGGAAGTTCCATATAACATGAGGAAAAGTATCTTCACTGTGAGTGTGACAGATCATTGGAACAGACTGCCCAAAGAGGCTGTGAAGTCTCCTCTGGAAATATTAAACACCTGCCCAGATGCTCTCCTATGTAAGCGACCATAGGGAACCTCCTTTGGCAGGAGGCTGGACTAGATCACCTCCAGAGGTCCCTCCCAACCTCCACAATTCTATGATTCTGTGAATGGCCAATATGTGAAAGTAGGCTAAAGTAGTACTTTAGAGATAGGAATTTCCATGAAGACCTAAATGACTGTTTTCAGTAAGCTGAAATTAATCAAACGTAATCAGAACAAGACTCACTACAGTTTTAAGACCCTTCACGTGTGGTGCTGCTCCTTGCAGAGGAGGAGTCCTATTTTTTAACAAAGGCAAAGACTATGACATGTCATTCAGCTGGTATTTTTCCACAAAACTACCCCTTTTTAGCAAGAATGTAAGCTTTCCCCTTCCTAAATGCTGCATCCCACTCCATATAGTAATCAACTCATTTTTGCAGTACTCCACCCAGTCATGAAGCAGTGGCACTGCAAGAAGTGCTTTTAAACCAAAAAATCTAGCAGCCAAATTCTGCCAGCCTTTTCCACATTTTGGCCTCTTACTTTTACACAGCTGCTTATCATCATGAAACATACAGTAATATATTTTTGAACTACCACTACCCTTTAAACTTGACTTTGCCACTGCCCTCAGTGTTACTAGTTATACAGACAAACAGATGTTTTGTTTACAGCAATCTTGCTGCTTAATTTTTCAAAACTTCCATGAAGGCATACAGCATTTATGTTATACCTAGAACAAGTGCTTAAATATTTATGTGCATGTAAAAAAATAAAATGAATGCTACATTTACTTCTTATTCTACTTCTCTGAAAACATACTGCAGGCCATTTATTATTTGCCCTTGGGGTCTGTAGCTAGACACAGATGAACATCAACACCTACTAAACCAAGGAATGTGGTGTTAATGCTTCATTCATCCTTCTTGAGATACTACCAGAAACTAGTTACTGCTAACTCCCTGCTACATTGTAAACTACATTAAGTGTCTACTGGACTGCATCTGAAATAGTAAGATCAAAGAGCAATTATGGTAATACTTAATTAGCTAGGATAAACGTCCCATTAATTGAAACTAGAATACCTGTCTGAGACTCACAAAGATCTTTCAAAAATACCATAAAATTGTTAATTACTAAAAAGCAGAACTCACAACAAACAGAACTACCACTGAAAGAACATCTAAATATTTGAAACAGTTGTGAACTCCAAAGACACTACATCTGTGTCAAAGCTAATATGACACCTGCTTTCAATGAAAATTTAATAGGCTGTCCAGTTTTTCAAACTCTCAGAAGTGTGTGTAGCACCAGCATTGAAACTGGAAGAAAAAGTTCTCTGAAGTGAGAAACAACAGATCAGCAGATTGTAGAGATGAGACTGTTAAGCATGCATCTATCTAATCTATATAATTTTTGTATGTTCTTTATTTTGAAGTTTTAAGTTGACACCTTGGTCCATACTTTGTGAGCTTACACTACCTGTGCTTGAGAACTGGAGTATAAAAATCAATTGTGAGCTAGAAAAAGCAGAGTAACCCGTGTTTTTAAAACTAACTGGGACACAAATTTCTTGGAGAGGTAGTTCATCCAAAGCTGCATAGCTTTGCGAGCAACTCATTTGTTGATGACAGTCGTAAGAGATTGGAACAGGCAACAGACTGGTGCCTGCTGTAATACCAGAAATTTTTTCATGGCAATAAAACCTTGAGGACTTTGACCTGATTCATGCTGGAAAGAAAATGTTGCAAAGCAAGCAGGCACAGCAATACAGCTAAGAAATCAGAACAATTAGAACAAAAAGCTCTTAACATTTAACTCCTGGTATAGTTGATGATTGGTAGTATATTTATTCTGAAAATTTTTCCAAACCTCTTATAAGTTTGAATTGGCTTTCAAAAGAAAATATCACATTGTCTAGCAGAAGAGATAGTCAGTTCTGTAAAGAAAATTTTGGCTGACAACTAATATCAGCAACTTTGTTCTGCTACTGCAATTCTCTTATTCAACTGGTTTGAATTGCAGATACAGAATCTGTTCAACTATGATGCAGCTTACCAGATTAGGAATCTTCACTGTAAGCATGATGGAATACATCATGCAAGTTTAAATATATTTGCAGACATTTTCTCCTTGCTAGCAACGACTATCTGTTCACTTGACTGGAAAACATACCTTCTACAAGCAGTCTAAGAGCCATTCTATTCTGTCAAATAGAACTAAGAATCACTATATCTTGTATTTTTTTTATCTGGTAAAGGCACCACTGTGAGGCTTGCATTTGTCCTTAAAAGGAAGTAGACTCTTACCAAGTCCTTCCTCCTGAGAGATGCAGGAAATCTCCTCAGCTTTTAAACTTTAATCATTAAAAAAAATGTTTATTTTCTGTTTCACACCAATTCTGCTTTGATTTGTCTACATTCCTTACTACTAATCTTCTATCAATTTTAAGTCTAACCATGAAATGAAGTCACAAAAAGTTCTATCACAGCCAAGTATTATCATGTCTCTTACTGAAAAGAGTATCTTAGATGTTAAAGTTTTAGATGCTTCGTAAGAGTTGCAGAGTATTAAATCAAAGTGGCTTTCATATTTTTTCCTTTCTTTTTTTTTTTTTTTCATATAATGAAAAACAAACTCTAGGAGTTAAACCCTCACAGGCTTTGTAAACAGTGGACATTGTGAATAAATCTTCTGTAACTTTCATTTCAAATTTTGACAAAACACAATCCTACCACATAAGTAATCATATATAGTAAATACAGACACAAATAATGATTAAGAAAATAACTGCAGTAAGGAAAAGCAAAAATTGTAAATTTAAATTTAATTTTAAGATTATTGGCTTGAAATCCAACTTTGCTTCTGAAGGAAACCCAGAGCTACGGCTCCTCTGTATTACTGGTGAGATATTTTATATTTCAGGGTAAAACTAGATCAATGTCCAGACAAAGTCAGAAGCTTATTCTGAAGTTTTGTGGAAGTTTTGATTGTAAGATCCTTCGGAGTTACAAAAAAGAAAGCACCCAGAGAAATTTTAAAAAAATAACCAACTGAAGTTCTCCAATAAATACGAGAAGAGATCATTTAGTGATGAATATGAAGCTTAATTACTATTAATTACAACATTTTAAAAATTCTCACCTCCCAGTGAGGCAGAAAAATTGGAAAGGTAACATTTTTACAATTTAAAATGTATAGAACCTTCTTGTGTTTTAGTGTCCATTGTCCTTGAGTTTTTGTCAATGCATTCACAACTGGTTATCAATAATCCACTTATGAACTAAACATGTTTACACAACTTAGATATTGACAGTGGCAATTAAATAACTTAGATAGAAGTGCTAACCTCACTGCTCTGATTCAATTCTGGCCAGGTCTGGTTTAGGGATGGCATTGATGGAGACTTGCTTGGAGGTGCTTCTGCTGGAGAGCCAGAGTAACCAACCTCACCAGTTTGTTCCCCAACTTCTGAAATGAAAGTCATCACTGTAAGTCAGAACTGTTAACAGCATTCACTTTATTCTCAGAAAGGCTGTTTGTATCTTATTCTAAAGTGCCCCTTATTTCCACTTTCTGAAAGAGCAGACAAAACAGACTGATTTGAGTTAAAGGTGCTACACCCCCTTATGATGAGAATCTTAGTGTTTTCTTCCACAGTATCTCGCAAATTGAACCGGCTTAGCAGCTGTTACCTTGCAAATGTATGTTGTTATTGTCATTCTAGTTTTCCCCAGGCTTTCAGCAAATAGAATTCCTTGCAGAAAGCCTCCCCTCTTTGAAGTTGCACAGTTTTTCATAATGCAGCACACATTTGTTTTAATTAAAAGAGAATTGGGTAACCTAATGGTAAATAGCAGATTAAAAATTCTGCGTAACAATGAAATGCTGCTTACAGCGTCAACTAATTTGCTACATCTTGCAATACAAACTGCAAGCAATGTCTTGGAAGCCTCAAAAATTGAAGTTCAGATTACAAATTGAAACTGTAACAGGAATAGGTGAAAAAACAACTGATCAGTAGCTAGATATACTAACAGAATGTCTGTAGACAAAATAATTAAAAACTCTGTACAAGGTAATATACTAAACAAAATAAATTAGTGAAAATCAACTGCACCATCAAAAAGCAACAACAGCCTATTGTCTTCAAAGTGCCTAAAAAGAATATCTGAAACATAGAAGTTTTGAGGCCATTAGAGGCTAAAGTGTTACTGATATATAAAACAAAAACAAAACCAATAACAACACAGAAATAAGTAACCTGCTGAAGCTTCAAAAGGTCTCAAACTTTCTGTAAATAGCAGGCACACTGTTGAACTCAATGTTTCCCAAATTATACCCAGTGCCTACCCAACCTCTTGTACTACTGTCCTTCAGGAAAAACTGCTTTACAATTTTTTCAAGATAGAAGCTGCACCTAATACTTCGTTTTAGGAAAAAACTTCTGGCAATAAAAAAACATCAAGGTTATATCAAGATGGTCTTTAAAAGCAGCATATGTCAGCAAGTAGTCAAGATGACACAGTGTAACCACTACACACAGAATTAACATGTTAAATTCAACATGCCAGTGGTAATGTTTTGGGAATGTATATTGCATGTTCAGTGCTTTGAAGCATGAAGTGAACAGTGAGTTGAAAAATACTCCAAATTCTCATTTCAACAGTGGTACACTAGATAACTGAACCACAGTTAAATGTAAATTCAAAAGATAAAGGTGGAAAACTGCTGTGGACAGGCTGTATGGCTACCTACAATTCAAGGCATTTACACAAAAAAACTGATCAGGCATTTCTGAAAAGCAAGTAGGTAACTAAACAAGAAAATGCATGCCAGATTCCTTATGAATGATAATCCAGTAGCATCAAATTAATTCATATACAGTATTTTTTTTAAGTTCTATTTTCTATAAAAATAAGGAAAACAAGTCTTTTTATTTAGGTATGATATAATTATGAAATTATTTTTAACCTTAAGAAAAATATCCTGTAGAAATTAAGTATTCTTGCAAAAAACTGGCTTTATTTTCTCTTAATGAGGAAAATATCAGATATAACAGAAGGAAAATTTGTTTTTCCTTAGAAAGAAATGGCATTGTTAGAGCAAACTGAACAGAAAAAAACCACCACAAGTTTACAGGAAAGCAAAAACTTCTAAATTTTGTAATGGATTGTTAATTTTTATAAACTGAGATCAAATTGATTTAACTGTAAAACAGTTCTTGTCAGCTGCAGATCATAAATTTCATCAAGACGGGTGCTATAACACATAAAATACATGTTTAAGGACTTGGAAAGAAGCATCTGTACAACTGACTTCATTCTCCTATTTCAGTGCAGTTTTCTTCTACAGGTTGTTTTCACACAGACATTTGACTCATTCTGAAAAGTGTATATAACCTAATTAGAAATACCACACCACAATGTTAAATCTTAAGTGGAGCTGCTGCAATCAGAGATTTCTTTGTATAATATGATCCAATTCAAAATACTAACACCATTCAAGCCTATTGTGGAATTACCAGAGTGTTCTATGAACTTAAAGTCTCATTTATTTCCCTAGGTCAGCACAGATATTACCACCTCGTTGGAAAATTGTTCTTTCAAAATGCTGGAGGGACGCAGACAAATGTAATATTGCAAAACAGCTCTATGTCATGTGAGAGAAATGCATCTCTGCTCACAAAAGCAGATGTCAGACAAGACCAACACAATAATGGATTTGAGACACCTGTGCTTGGTCACCGATTCAAATAAGCAGGAGCAGCTGCCAGACTAAGTGGCAAGAGTCAGAAGAGTATTAGAGCATTGTTACTTCTCTTCCTCTTAGCCACTGGTTCAAAATCAAAATGGAAAGAGACAACATTTCTAGCACGCAATTGAAGTGATTAAGGAAAGAGTTTCTAACAAAAGGACAGAAGTAAATAAAGGCATTGTTTATGCTCTGAAAAAGTTTAAACTTCTATCAAAGTAAAGAAAACAAAAATCAAGTAATTGACCTTCTAAAACAGTCTGAAACATGATATGCACATTGATACCTCCATTGCAGATGAGGATTACTACACTAACAATTTCTTTTTTGTGTGTGTGAAAGGTGTATCACATGAAAAAAATACAACACTCAAAAAGCTATTCCAGTGCCTTGCTTTACACTATTTCTGAGAAGGCTGTCCAGAAGCAAGCATTATCAAAATATACCTTCTATGAGAAAAAAAAAACCATCATAAAAACAGGTTGATCTTCCTAGGCTTGATCTACAGTCCTCACGTTGAGCAGACAGCTTAACATATACAGTAATTTGCACTTAGACCTATCAGTAACTTATAATTATTATTAAAATAGTAAAATTGGGATTTGGACCGTTGTAATTACAAGTGAAGTTATAGCCAAATCAGTAACCTCTCCTTAAATAATTAATTCAGTGTACATGTACTGGTGACAAATCTATGTCAGGTACTAGAGAAGATTAGTTGTTTCCAAAACTAGAGGCCCTAATAAAGAAGAAATAAATTAATAGCATAGAATGCAACAAGTTTGCAGATTATTTTTCATCAATGCCTTTAAAATCATCAGCAGAATTAAGTATCAGTTATATTTCTGTATTTTTATTTTTTAAGCACAGCATAATAATCTCTCAGTGTTCATAAGAACAAAGCAAAATTCCTTTAAGATAAGAGGGAAAACATTCAGTACTTTTAGAAGTAGTTTTTCTTCACACTTAAAGACAACTCTGTACTTCTTGAAATTTTATTTTATCACAGCTGCCTGTGTAATAAAGACAGACACATAACACTTTTTGGTTTCATGTCCAGTTAATAAAACTTTCAAGGCACTTCAGCTATATAACAAAATCCTCAATGCTGTCTATGCTGATCAAAGCAGTAGAAAACCAGGTATGAATGTAGACATTTTTGTAACTATAGCTTTTTGTTACTTCATTTCCTATCAAGAAGTTGCTTGGCAATCACCTTGACATAACAAGAGAGTGGTTAGTTTTTAGATAACTGTTGATACTTCTTATGAATGTCTTTGCCATAGTAATGTGCTTACTCATACTGAAAACACTACAGCTGCTGCTGGCTGCTGCTGAAAGGCTGAGGAGCTGAGTGAAAAAAACATGGTTTAATTATTAAAGCAGAGCCACACTATCTAGTTTAAGAGCTTCTCAGTAATTGCCAAGTGAAATTCTCTGACATCCTACACACACAGTAGGAAGGGACTCCTCTCTGTTGAAATATTTAGTAAGAAGATAAAATGCTAGAAAACCACAATACTTGTGCACCCACCTGTGCAACTTCCAGAGCCAAGATTGCTTAATGTTTGTTTTTTTTCTAGTCATTAAATTTTGCTTTTTTGAAAAATATAACAATTCACCAATAACGAATGGCACCTAAAAATAAGCTTCCTCTAAACATAAACTGGTAAGAGACAGTAAAGTAAAAAGGCTTCAAGTTTTATTAGCTAATAAAAATTGAATGACTCAACATTTTCAAGAACTATAACAATGGAATTTTGAGGAATCATTCGTATTTCAAGTTAATTTCAGTAGAACTTAGTTTATTTCAAGTTCTATAAAAATTCAATGTTCATTGCAAATACCATATTTACAAAGTAGATTATAGGTATTCTGCTTCCTTTATCTGTTTAAAAATAAAAATGAAAGATGGTTAAAACCATCCCGCTTTTAAACAGCATTTTTACATGTGCTTTCGTCCTACCTCTGACATTATATCTCAGAATATTTTTAAGTACTTTCAGGACTTAGAAACAAACGCCCTATTTTTAGAAATTAGGGCAGACAAAACATTCATTTGAAATCAAATCTGAAGTACATTTGGATTGGGAATTTGGAATAAAGCGTCTAATTGTGAATATAGCTAAGGAAAACAAGGCTATCACAGTATAAACTATAAACTATAAAGGAAACAGGCTGTATTTCAAAATGAGACCATACATATACTATTCTTAAATAACATCTCCCTAGAAAAACATTTGCTTAGATTAGTTCTGAACACCAGAATTATGGTTTCTAAAAAACTGCACACTGATTCATCTTCTACCAAGTAAAGCAATATGCTTGTTCACTTACAAACCCCAAATATCTCCTGACATACTGTAATTTTAATTATGCTATCAGTTGCAAATAGCAAAAATGGTGCTGAAATGTATCTTACCTGTTGAGTCTTCCAAATCAATCAATTTGGGCATTAAGCTTTCAGGTAACTTTTCTGGCAAATCATATCCATTCTTCCTAGCAACTACCAGATGAAAGGCAGCACAGAACTCATCCAACGTCAGTGCACCATCTTTATCAAAATCCGAAAGTTCCCTAAAAAGGAGAACTTACTATAAATGAAACCAAATTTATTTCCAAAAGACATATTTCTGTTGTGCTACTTGGAAGAAGAAAGAGTGCAGCCTACAGTTCGTTTTTGCCTATTAAGCACTCCATATTAGCCCTACATGCTCTATTCTCCAAAGAATAGCTCCAAAGTTTTTACTATCAGTACTTAGAAGTTAAAGAGCAAATCTAACCCACTTATCTCTCTCTCCAATTTTTTTGTTTGGTTGGTTTTTAATGCATTTCTCTGCGTTTAAGATAGTATTATAACATTATTGGTGTTAGATCTTGGTACACTAATACTTTCTTACAGTAATAGTGCCAAGGCAGCATGATTTATTTTCAGTAAAATGGGAAAATATCTGAATTAGAAATCACTGCGTTGATGAAAGATCAAATCTTTCTAGGTAAGTCAATTAACGTTAGCATGCAATGATGCACTATAAATTCCAGAACAGAATGAAAGAAAAGATCAGTACCTAAAAGGGGCCTACAGGAGAGCTGGGGGGGGACGGGACTTTTTATAAGGAATGTAGTGACAGGACAAGGGGAAATGGCTTTAAACTGAAAGAGGGTAGATTTAGACTAGGTATTAGGAAGAAATTCTTTACTGTGAGGGTGGAAGACACTGGAACAGTTTACCCAGTGAGGTTGTGGATACCCTCTCCCTGAAGGCATTCAAGGCTAGGCTGGATAGGACTTTGAACAACCTGGTCTAGAGGGAATGTCCCTGCCTACAGCAGGGGGTTGGAACTAGACGATCTTAAAGGTCCCTTCCAACCCAATTCACTCTATGATTCTAAGATCTATACCAAAACAAAGCTCAATGATGAAGTACTACTAAATGCATCTCAAAATATTTGCATCTGTATATTTTATTTAAACTTCCTTCCTGAGACTCAAATAAACATAGGAATAAGGAATTTATAATTTATATTCAAATGCATCTTTAAAATTGTAAAATTTCAGAGTAAGAACTACTTGGTTTGAAGTGTTTAAATTTTTTTTAAGAAGCTCAAAATACTGCTTAAAGTATCAACCTAGACCCATTGAAAACCACTAAAATATTGGCATAAATGTGAATAGAAATGAACACAGTATAGTAGTGAAACTTTACTTAACACCTTCTAGTAAGGAGATGGATAACAACACATAGCTGTGATCTTTCAAAACAGCTATCCCAAAACACACCACACTTACCAAATGTGGGAAAGTTCAAGAATAGGTAGTTTCGACTTAGTGAAAAATTCTTTAGCTGCAGATCCTGAAAAATTACAATAACAGTTTTTAATGCTTGAACTATTTTAAATCATCAGAAGACTTACAGATTCACGGTAAACAATGTAAGCTATTTAGCAAAGGTTTAGAGAAAAATGGCACTAATTTCTAGAGATGAAGTGAAAAGCGGTTTCAAGTCCTTTCTTGAATTACACTGCAGTTTACCAGAATGTTATCACTAAAATGCAATACTTTCTTTGAAATGGTACGCAAACCTAAGTACCCAACAAAGTCTTTGTACCAGAACTGCTGCACCCACAATTATATTTTTTTAAAGAGTAACTTACCTGGTATAAATCCATTTAGATCAGGTTGAATGGTTTTAAACTGATTAACATAATACTGCCTTTGTTCATCAGTTATTTTCCAGGGGTCATCATAACTACTTGATTGCCTACGAATTTCATTTGTTGTTGTAGCTGATGCTACAGTTCGTACTGTTGTCTGGTCCTGAAATGAAATATTTTTTCCTCAGTATTATCTACCTAAAGTGCTCTTACGAATTCTCAACTTCTTGCCTTCAAAAAGTAAAGCATAGTTATATCTCACAGTAGTTTAAAAACTACAAGAAACTATCAGCATAGTGCATCTACAGGACAATGACAGGGTATTTTTGCACATGGATACAAATGGGTAGGAATGATTGCAGTTATGTAAGCAAAAAAAAAAACCAACATGGCACATACACAAAGAAGCTAAGCACAATTATTTCATAATTGTTGACATTTTTAAAAATTAGTAACTTGCAACTACATCACTTATATGAAGTATCTGTTGGGTAAATAGCATTGAACAGACTACAGCACAGCTACACAGTAAACATCTGCAGTGAAAAATATATATAAAAAAATGGATTGCAACCATCTGAATGACGCAAATTAAATACCAATAAAGTGTCACACCTGGACAGAAGCAGGATGCATGGCTAAAAGAGCACTGGTTGGTGGGGTATCAGCAAAACTGACCCAATTTTCTTGGTGAGGTGGTGGTGAATGACCAGACCATATGGGATCACTAGAAGTAGATGAGCCTGAAAGTAGAAGAAACATTTCTTTTTTCAAATAAAGAAAAACAAAAAACAAAAACCTGAAAAACTGAGTAAGAACTACAGATACAGAAAGCAGCCCAAAAAGTTTCAACTATGAAACACAGGTTCCCATCAGGAAGACACATGCTTGTAAAATGGTGAAGAAAACTGAAACCAAATTGCATCAAGGTGATGCTGTTTGACCTCCTGACAACTCCTTTAGACTTCTATATTTGGTCAACTTAAATCAGTACTAAAAAGACAGAAGTAAGGAATGAGCTTATTGCACATATGCAAAATTTAAACTGTTTTATACATTTGATGCATCTTATATACTCAATATATAATACTCAAAGCTTTCTCCTCATTGAAATAAGCTTTTGTACTGACAATTATTTAAAAGTGGCATAAGATTTCAGAATGCAATATATTTTAAGGTTTTTTTATTTTTGTTTTTTTTAGCTTTTAGTTATTCAAAGAATATACCCTTGGATATTCCTCTTCAAGAAAAAAAAAAAAAAAATATCAGGCTTTTCAGCATAGATCTTTTTTCTCTAATTAATTCCTAAATGAAGTCAGTTGCTTAAATACAGTCCAATAATAATAAAAGGCACCCATACAGACTGCTGACACCTGCCACGTATTAAGTAACTGGAACACAGTAACTAATTCATCCTTGTTGTGCCTTGTTGTAAGAAACTTCTGAAATACTGCTGACACTCAAAGTATTGATATTAAAACACTGATGAAGCAAATACAGAAGCATTTGGTCATCTGTTGCTCTATGTACAAAAACTGGAAAATTCTATTAAGTTGCAAACAAAAATTACAGATTTAAGGAAGGCAGAGCAGAGGAAAAAACAGACCATCTACAATAAGTCTATAAGAATCTCAGGACTCCACTCTACCACTTTTTAAAGAAATGCTTAAGTCCTTAAATCTCGACAGTAGTTACAGAACTAAATATTTTACTCTTACAGAAGACATTTCTAGTAGGAGAAAGATACAGAAGGTTTTGGAAGTGATAAACTGAATACACAAAATTGAAAGATTATATTATTTATGAATTTCATCAAAATAATAAACCAATTCCATCCTTTTAGAATTATCTTTACTAGAATAAAAAGCCACTGTTAATTACTCCTTTTGTTCCTTAACGAAACTTGACTTGTAACCAAAACTCCTGAGAACAGAGGTAATAAGACTAACAATTCTTTTTGCCTTGGAGTTTTTCCACAGCTAGTCTAACTCTACAACTTCACAAAGAAGCATGCCAAAAAGCTTTGGAGTTTCTTTCCACTTGTTCTCTCTAAGCACAGAGCAAGCAGACAATGAGAATCAGGCAAGTACCTCCCATTCCTCCTATGAAAATGCTACACTTCAAGTTTACTTGTGTTAAAACAGCTTTCCTCTTCTGTCCCTCAGCCACTGACATTATTACCAACATGTTTTTGGATTTTATTCCTGTCTTGATTTGTTCAAACAGCTTTACTACAGTTCAGTCTGCACCCCCATTTGCACAGTACTTTCTCCATGCTAGCATACTAGCATAGCAACAAGGATACCAGTAGTACTAAATTGTCATAACTTCCAAGTACTTCACACATACTACAAGAGCTATATCCTTTCTCCTGACCCCTTCAATCATCCCAAGAACACTTGTTTCACTGTTCTTGTTATGCAGATTTTTTAGGACATAGGATGGGAAGGCTGAAGAACACACACACAAAAAGACAACTAGTAACTGTGGACACCTAGATGTATACATAGTTATGAAATAAAAACAGCCAATAACTCAATTCTCTCTCTTCGAAACGACATCTATTTCACATTTGAATTAGACATAGTCATGCCTCAGTTTCTTCTCAAACCAGAAAAACCAGACTAGGAACCACTGAGGTAGAGGTGAAAGTGGAAGAAAATAATCACAGGGAAGACTCTGAACAGTTGGCACTTATGAGCTGTTACCCAATCACTTCAAAAGCCTGTGTGCTTTTATCAGAGAACACCACTGAAAGCGCTCTGAATAGAGAGCATGCCTAAAACTGACTATCAGATATCAGATTAGGACTAGCTGAAGAAGTCTAATGCATAATGTTTACTATGGAGACATAACTTGAATTCCTGTGGCTGCTCTTTATCCTTCTGCCGTAGATCGAATACCACCACATTGTTAAATTTGGAAGATGATCTAATCTCCTGTGGGATAAAAGTTACCTCTTCACTTTAAACTACAAACATAAATATAATAAGTGGTCTATCCAAACAACAAGCTGCTTGTACTTTTAAATAAACTGTGAGTTTACCTTATAAGAACTCATTTTTCAAGTAACCTTGTAAACTACCAAGAGCACTCCTTACCACTAATTTGTGATGGAATAAAACCAATACAAGCACAATAATAAAATGGTTTAGAGCTCTTCCCTCCCTTAATAACCATTCTATGTAACAAGGCCTTAAACAAGGCCAAGTATCAGTAATTACTGAAGTATTAAGTAGGAGACAGAGGACCACTCAGTGCCTTGCAAGCAGCGTAAGAATCTTAGAACTCTAAAGACAGAAATGAAATGTTAATGCAATAGACGTTCTCCATTTCTGTCCGTGAAGTTTCTAGGCTGTTTCTGAGTTGTACCAAAACTGCCCCCAACAAGGAAAATAAATCAGCATGGCTTGAAGCTGCAAACTCTCACACATATTCAAGACATTGAAATAAAACTTGAAGGTAACACCAAAGAAAGCTGGCAGAGGTCCTATGACTGAACAGAAGACCTAATCTTTTTGACGAGTTTAAAATCATACTACAAACATAAACAAACTACACACATAAATGTTCTGCTCTGCTTCCAGTCCAAACAAACTACAAAATGATGAAACTTAAAATAATTTCTAGCCTCTATTCTGACACACCACTCAACAATCATTTGAAGCTAAGCCAGGAGAAAGGATTATTTCTCCTAAGTTTCTCATGGTCAGCACCCTTCTAGATACTGAAGCTAGAATGTAAAATGAGTTGAAGTTAACATAATTTTATCCTCTTCTGTAACTCCAGGAACAGGAGGTTCTCATTTCACATTAATTCTGTTTCCTTATGTATTGGGTCTGCTTGCAATTGAATTCATTTTCTTCATAGCAGCTTATATGGTGCTGTGCTCTAAATCTGCACCTAGAACAACACTGATTAATACACCAATATTTTAGCTAGAGGTGAACAGTGTTTGCATGGCCTCAAGCCGCTTGTTTCTTACTCTGCTCCCCTCATTGAACAGACTGGGGAGTGTGTCAAAGACTGAGAGGGTACACAAGACAAATAACTCAAACTAATCAAGGCGATATTCCATACCATGTAGCATCATGCTCAGCAATAAAACATTAAAAAGGACAGGCAATCTAGCATCAGCTATCTTTTGCTTGGGAACTGGCCTGGCTGGTGACTGACTCTCTTTGAATAATTTCTTTTCTTTCACTTCTTTCACTTCCTAAACTTTTTTTTCTTGAACCATAAGGTTGTTTTGGTGTTGGCTTTTTTTTTTTTTGCTTTTACTCTTCCTTTCCTCTTCCTCATCCCACTGAGTGAATGTGAAGGTGTATGGTGCTTAGCCATCTACCAAGGTTAACCCACAACACCTTATAATATGAGGGGTTCAGTTATCCACTTTATTGTTCCATGAAAACTAATCTAGGAGAAGAACCAGACAGATCAAACAAGTCAGAACCAAGACATAACATGATTGTTAACAGCTTTACCTTAAATGCAAATTAAACAATTGGAAGACTCGAGAGACTTGGGTTTTAATAGAATTGACAGACATTTGAAGATGAGACCTAACCTAACCATAAACTTTATTTCATGCTATGTATTAATTAGATCTAACAGAATCATGCTCACACTTGAGAGCCCCATGCTTTGAAATGGAACCTCTGTTATCAACCATTATTCTCAGTGTTCCACAGACTATGAAATAAAAGCAGAGAGAACTGGGTTCTTATGTTTCTTGGATCACAAGTGAAATAAGATAGTCCTGCCTTAAGTCCCCTATTGAAATAATGTAATGTCACCTGCAAATTATCTGACTACGCAAGAACATCTTATTTCAAAATAAAGATGAGCTTGCAGAACTGATTTTAAGGTAAGTAACCAAAAATCTCTCTCATTCTGCACCTTAATGTCAGAAGAGCATCTCTCTAAAAAACATCTCTTTAAACTGTAAGCTGAAGGGGGAAAAAGAACAAAGAACTGTCTACAACAGCTCAAAATCAACAAAATACAGTGCAATAGAATCATCTGGTGAACAAGGATGCCAATTTTTATTAAATATGTTAATCTAGTCCACCCTTAGCACTGGCAGAACTTCTGAAAATATTATCTAATAGACATCACAGGAAAAGCACAGCCAAAATGAAATATTAATATGGTATTACAACTTTACTTTTGAAGGGCAGTACTGAACATTTCAATGGAGGAGTAGTTTCCATGCGTTCTAGTAGTTCTTGACTGTGCATGAGAAAAAGACTACCAAAGAAACTTCTATTTCATCTTGCAATAAAACCAGATTAACTAAACTTTGCAAAGGAAAAAAAAAAATCAAATCAAGAAACTGATGAAAAATCACTAAGAGCATGTTTAAACACCTGGGCTAAAGCCTTTGAAGTGCTTGCATACACAATGAGCAAACTAATAATATTTTTTATTCTAAATTGACTAGCATGTACTTGAAAATAATATTAAAAACAGCCACGTCAACTCATGCATAAAACCAATTTAATTTCTAAATGTCACTGAAGATGCATTTCGTTTCTTTATTCGACCAATTATAACAACAGAATACATCTGTGGATGCTTATAACCATTAGAAGAGGATATACTGAATGATCAACTTGGAAATACCAAGACTGGAATAAACCAACAAACTACACCTCAATCTGAAATTACAATTTATAAAATGTTTCATTTTTGATACTCATAAATATGTCACATTAATTACTATTACTCCACTATTCCCAAATGTATTAAATTGAGCAGATTATCAGAAAAAGAAACAGAACTTCTTCCTATTTAAGATTTTAAGGGAGAAAACTTTTTGCCACCAGAGCACAGTGATACAATAGCGAAAGTCTTCATGTTAAATGAAAAGAACAAAAAAGGTTAACCTACAGAGAAAACAAATGATTTTACTTTGATACATTTGAGATACAGTAGCTTCAGCTACATTTATATAAACTTTAAAGAAAAAAAGAAAACGTTAAGAGAATTAGTTTTTCAACAAGTCACCTGATCCATCAGAAACAATTCAAATAACATATTAACTGCCTCCTTCCTTTGAGCTGTTCGTATCTCTGGGTGTGCTGGCAGTTCCTGTCAATAGGACATCAGCTTCATATTACAACTTTTCACTTTAATACTCTTCCCTCCCTCCAAACTAAGCATTTCCTGTACCACGCTGAAAAACAGATCTGCCACAAATAAGGCCACAGATTCCACAATGCTGACACCAGCATGAAGATTTGAATCTACAACCAACTTTCCAGAATTGGAAAACAGAAATGTACTGTCTTAAATTCCACAACTTTGGGTTACAATCAAAGCATGACAGAAGACATTTATACCTGGTTGTGCTTCACTAAATGGAGCCCAAAAAGGCCCAGGTCCAGCAAGAGGTCGTTCATTATTCCCTCCGCTGGGATGGCGGTTGTGCTTCCTCCATGAGTGTGGAGAGGTTGGTGGGGATTGCTGTGGTGAAACAACTGGAGATGTGGACTCCTAATAAAACAAAGGAACTCTTTAAGTTTTGTACTGTATAGCTAAATATATAAAAGCCTATCCATAACCGTAATTTCTAGAAACAATCATCAATATAATTAAAATATACTTGAATAAGGAAAAATCTTAGCACTTATTAAAATAAGGGAACAGATGTCAGGTACAGCATAAGTAGCATCAGACACATTCATTTAAAAAAAAAACAAAAATGACACAACTAAGCAGGCATTCTCAGGACAACAGCAATGCCAAGTTAAATGACTTAGTTTCAAAGGAAACTTATTCAAAAAACTCATTTTCACTTGTGATAGAAGTTACATTTGAACCCAGACCTCAAAAGAAAGTTATTTATTGTACAAGCAATGATCATGCCTAACTGTCATCAAGTGACTCATAATCCAAATTATCTTCTTTTTAAAGAAATGAGAATTCAACACTGAAAAACATAGCAGACATTATTTTGAAATGTGCAAAAAATGTAGATGTATTTTTTTTCCAAATAATTATGCCCTTTATGATATATTTCTTTGTTGTACAAGTTAGAAGGTAGTTCTGTCCTAATTTTAAGGCTTAATATTTTCTTTAACACTCTACTGTTCTATCTCATCCCTGAACAGACAGGAAAATAGAATTACATGTGTATCAGTTCTCATGAGACATTCAGATTACCAGATAATTCCACTTGGAAGGAAATAATGAAAAAAATAAATTGAACAAAGTGAAGTATTTCTATCATAGAAAAAAATTTTGAAATTAGTTTGCTACGCCTCTCAACTTAAGCTAAACTGGTAGGGGAAAAAACAAGTACAACAAGAAGGCAAGATTCAGCTCTACATTTCCTGGGGAGTAAACGTGCTAAAAATCTCAATATCTATTTCAGCAGTAGACAAAAATGTATGTTTGGAACTCTGTTGCCTGATTATATTAAATGATATAACCTTTATTTACCTTTTCAATTCACCCACAATGTACACACTGTAAATAATATCAAGGACTTACTAGCACATAGGAATATATACAATAACATAACTCCTATTAGTTTCAAAGATTCAAATAAACTGAAAGCCACATGAATATAACCTGGAAATAGCTTCCTAACAACTGCTAATATGCTATCAAATACTACAGACAGATCGTCTGTGGGTTTCCACATGATTCTCAAAACCTGATTTACTTTGCCAAATATTCAAAGGCCATTTTTGTCTTATAACAACAACATTACTTCTATAAAAAACTAAAAGTCAAAGTGCCATAAAACTAGCTTTTTTCCAAGCAACGTACATACTAAAACTACACACATTTAACAAAGTTTAAAGATCATGATGACAGGTCAGTTTCCAATGTGTTGATGTAGCCTCTCTCTCCCATTTCTTTTCCTTTGATTTCTGTCTTCCCGGGGATACGGGGCCAGCACGGTCAACTCTGCAATTGAGGTATTTGCTAAAAATCAGGACCACCGAGTCAGATTTCTTTAATTAAAGCTTCGAGACCACGTCATTTCCAGTATTTCATTGAGAGTATTTAAACTGATGCCCACATATATTTGCAAACAGTGTTACAGAGTGGCTGAGAGCAGTAAAAATTCATTTTTTAATTCATGGACCATCCAATTGCACGGTCACCATTTTCCACTATCTCTGCCAGTCAAGATTATTATGGCAGTTACTCACTGCTCTGAAATTTACCTGAAGTTGCTGCTTCTTAGCATCTTACTTGACAAGAAATTATAAGCCATAGTACATTCTTACTTTTATGGTACGTGGGACAGTGATTAGAGGGAGCCAGTGTACGGTTAGTGGAATAACCATTCAACCTCATTTCTAGCTTCCAGGCTACAAATGGCACTCTGGAAGCTAGAAATGAGGTTGAATGGTTAGTCCACTTAGAACAACAGAGCAATAGGTTCTTGGAGAACCATGATGATGCATCACTGATGATAATGACAAACTCCCTCCTTCCATTGGTATAGAAGCCATTTTTAAAATCAAAAAAAGATTTGAAAGATATTTGAATTTTTAGACTAAAGACCATGAGTAAACCTAGGGATTGCTATGCTTGGTCACAGACATTTTTCATTTGCTCTGGTATTTTTATTCCAAAAAGTTAGATGGTCCAAAAGGACACAAGAAATCCTGAAGCAGACAAATGCACAATAGCCTACATAAAGGAAACGCATTCGCTACTTCTAATAACTGGATGTGAACATCTACTTTTCACACACTGCCCTCGTGCAGCAGCCTTGCCCTAAGGAACGTGACAACTGTCATGTCATAACGCTCAAGCTATTGTAAATATGATATTCAACTTATTCTTCTAAACATTTGCTTTCCATGCAACTCCATAGAGTATGTAATGAAAGTAAACAGATCACAAGGAGCAAAAGCAGCATAATGGTTAACCTTGTTCTCAATGTACCAGTCAACGTTATATCAGAATTATAAACATCTACAGATTTCCCACAATTAATCTGGAGCTTCAGTTTATGGACTTAAAATTATTAAACAGAAGAAAATATGCAAATCTGATGTCAAAAAAGCTTCTGGAAGCACTTGCCACATCTTCAGCTTCATTATGAGACATTTCCAAAACATTTTCAACCCATTTAACACAGCATTACTGTGGCAACATCTTATCCCCATGTAACCCCAGCCCTTCCCTTACACCACTCCTCAAAACCATTGAGCTAGCCTACTAGAAGCTGAAGGCATCTGAACACTTTTAAAATGCATATTATATATATAAATGGCTTAGCCAAAATACTGATGGTTTGATGCAAGTATAAAGGAGGAGGATGCAGGCCAGGAAAGACTGAGAAGGTAGAACTGTAGGAACATCGACTCAAATGCAAAAATAGTCATGGAAAAGATTTACTGAAATGAACTACACATAGGTGTAGTGTGTATGTGTACTACTAGGCGCATACATGCCTTTTCAGTTGATAAAAAGAAGTTACAACTTTAATACATTCACGTCTAAGATAATGCAGTGTGTTGTACAAAGTTTCTGCTTTGATTTTGCACCAGGCTTCCACCTTTAGTGAACAGGCTTCATTAAAACAACCTTTGTTTCTCAACTGTACAAACTCTCAAAACGTGCTGTTTATGAGAGCATATGCTGCAGCTGAGAAGATGGTATGTTCATTCTCATCTATCTAATCTATTACTAAAGGAAACTAATCTTAAAAGCCTGAAATATCCATGACTAAATTTTCTTAAGAGCATTACAATACAGTACCTACCTGGAACACTCTTCTAAATCCTAATATGTAACAATTGCAACAGATTTGTAATTTCAGGACAATGATAACTCAGTAATTCAATATCATCATATTTAACAGAAGTTACCCACCTAATCTCTTTGGGTACTTTAGCAATTTTACCCATCTGCATACTGTAGATTTATCGTTTATTAAATTAGCTACTATCAAAATCCTATTTTGCTAAACTGTTTTAACACTTTCATAGCAATTCCATTAAAACATTTAGAACAAGATTTAATTTCTATCCAAACAAAACTCAATAAAAGCAATAGTAATTATAACATTCTTCTTTCTACTATCTTATTCATTGCTACATTATTGCAGAAAAGAGATAGAGATGTAAATAAAAGCAAGCTGATATAGATAGTTAGCGAACCTTAACGTTAAATCAAACCAGTAAGAACATTCTTAATAACTAATAAAAAAATAAGGTTACAGTTAAGAGGCAAAAATCAAGTAATTAATCTTAAAAAAAAAACAAAAACATTAAAATAATAAATTTAACCTCAGTTGTTAAATAAAAAAACATGATTTTTGTTAAACTGGAATTACTAAACACTACGAAAGACTTGAACTAGGACCTTTTTGGAATGATGAGCAGTAACTAAAAACAAGGTGCTAATCAAAAAAAGGTGTTATAATATATGGTTCCAAAAGAAGAACTGTAGTGAATGTAAGTCAAACTGGTGTAAGGCAACACAATACTGTACTAAAGCAACACTGGAGTGATCCCAACCTCAAAAGGAAATTGCAAGCATACATGAGTCAAAAGGGATTATAAACCTTTTCCTGGATCTCACACCTCAGGCCAGAAGAAAGCCTCCTTAAGGAGAACTCCAGAGACAATGAAGCCAGACATGGTATCCGAAGGGTAGCTCTAAGGGTGTTGTGGTCCAGGTCCTGACACCACACAGCCTGCATAAGAGTCAGGGAACAGATCCATTATGAAGAAAGATTGTGCTAGAGATGGTAATCGCATTGCAGAACCTGTGGTTTTGTAATCAACTAGCGCTCATATTGAAGAATAAAATAGTTCAAGATTCAATGTGAGCTTCTCTACATGAAGCACAATTCATTTTTTAGATTGGATGTGTGGTTCAGCCAACTGGAAACTTATTGGACCTCAACAGTCTGAGAAGTTTTAGTTTTGAAGAAGGCAACTAAAAACCCAGAGATAAATCACAGCACCGGAAATTTTACTCAAGTTTCTTCAAAAATTTTGAGACAAGGAATTGCGCTGAATTTAACCTGAACATTGCTATACTTCATTGCGGTGCCATATAAGATAATTCCAACAATCTGGAGTTTAATACAAGAATCTAAGTTGCAAAAGAAATGGCTACAGAATGAACCACGTTAGTATGAGAACCATATGACTGAAGTGAATTTTCTAATAACGCTGCTGAAAGACTGTTCTGGGGAGTGACCTAACTTGATACTGCAGGTAAATGCTTATACACACTAAGTAGCATACTAATGGATTTTGACAGGAAACGTGAAGGAGGCATTATAAGAATAGATTATTTTGAGGACAGAGATAACTACACTATCAAAATTTCAAGTACAAAACAGTTTCTCAAAGAATAGAAATTAATATTGAAATGAATAATGAGAAGCAACCAATTGAAAGTAGAAGACTGGATGCATAGCTCAACTGTCAGACCACTATTATGTCAAATATGACAGATCTGCTTTCTCCACAGCTGCTAAGATGTATAAGGTGAGAAACTCATCAGACATAGGAAGTAATTTATGAAATAATACTAATACTGGCAAGATCTCATTAGAAACTAGAACTGTAAGTCTGGTCAGGTAATTTCAATGAGAATAAATTCAAACTGGATCAAGGGCAAAGAAGGATTACAAGGATTACCATGAGCTATTTTGTTAAACAAAACAGATTACAGATTTTGTCAAGCAAAATGAATCTAAGGGGGAATACAATGGTTTTCTAGTAAATACTGGTGGTGTTCTGCAGGAAACACTAAAGACAAAGTTGTTAAAATAACAGGTAATACCTGACCTGAGGAGAGTTCTAAATTCCCACTAAATTCCCACCGTATTCCCGTTAAGATGTAGGAACAGTTTTCCCCAATACTGACAGTGCAGATAAAATGTCTGTTTTAAGAGAGAATCCTGATTGTTTTTTAAAAAGTAATTATCTATTACAATTGCACATGACAACAGAGCTACAGTGATTTTCTAGACAAGGAATTGCAAAACACCAAACTTCAATATATTTCAGTGTGGTGCCATAAGAGAGAATTCCAACAATTGGGATACTACTACATAAATCCAAGTTGCAAAATAACAACTCAGACTCAGTAACAAAAGAGGTTTTTTTCAGCTTTATGTTCCTAAGCAATTTATTTAATACCATATATTTTTATCCAGAATTACCTGTTCAATCTACTAAACAAAATCTAAGAGAAATGCTTTATTGGCAAACCTTAGAAAAATATCCCACAACTTCCCACATAGCTACAAATGTTGAAGTGATCCAGTATCCATGTGTACCAATTTTGAGCTGCACTCACATAGCAATAGTTCAACACAATCTGGCTTTTTAAGTGTTATGTTTAATGCACATATAAGATCATACCCTCAGCTTTACATTTTATTTTCATCTGGACACAGCAATGTTTCACCTTATAGCTTTTGCTACATACACAGTTTTTGCTGCTAGAGCCATTACCTATTCAATCTAGTTCCTGTCCCTTTCCTATAAAAGGCTGTAAACCAACTAAAAGTATCCTAAAGTGGTACCTGACTATCTGGATCACATTTAAAAGACACTAAAAAATTATCTGCTTGTTGATTTTAACAACAAAATGCAAAGCATGCAAAGGTAGCATCTAACAGACTGATACTGAGAGCTTTTAGTCATAGGTAAATTAGTTTCAGAAGAAGGAAGCAGCAGCAATGTTTTGATTAGGGAGTGTTTCCTATGAGATGGCTTTCAGAACATTTATTACTCCTTTTAATATGTTCAAAAAGCATCAAAAGGTCCTAAACTTACTAGGAGGTTTTAAAAACAAATAAAAATGCACAAGAACTCGACAGAATCCAGTTTCTCAAGGTTGGCCTAATTTAAAAGTTTAGTGGTATAGCTGCCATTACCCACATACAAAACTATGTATACAGTCCATGACTAACATAACCATGTGAACAAAACTGCTCATACATATGTCACAGTGACAGCAGAAGTTTTGATCTGCTTATTGTCTATTTGGCAACAAGAAATGACACCAGTAGAAAAACCTATTTCCTCCCAGTGTTTTATGTCCAGTAAGGTGTGCAGTCAACACACCATTTAGTTAGTAAAGGTTTCTTTCATTAGTTGTCTTTACTCTTAAAATCAATTCAGTAGCTTTCATGACAGCTGAGTGTGACTTCTGTCATCTACTGTGCATACAGCAATATTAGAGAAGACAGAAACTTCAGACTAGTGCTCCATTTACATAACACCATTACAAACTAAAAAACTCACCACAGAAATAGCAACAGAAAAAAACAATGTTCCTGCATTTGCCCTGTACTTACTGTAAAAGAAACCTCATTTGTAGCTCCTGTCTGGAAACAGAACTTGATTTCAATTTCCTGATACCTTGCTGTGTCTGAGTGAAGATCCAAATAATGCATTGATAATAACAACACTGTCAAAATAATGTATCAATAAAGAAAAAAAGTTTTCTATAATTCAGCACACAACACCCTAAGTTAAATTCTTTTACATAGGCTACTTGTAATTCTGAAATATTAACCTGTGTGACATTTCACAACATAGAAAAAAGCACATGAATGTAACCATCCTTTAAAAGATCAGGGCCAAGACAGTACATGATTTCACTTAAATATTTTAGTCAGAGCCATGAAATCAAAGCACTTTGAAGTGGCAGGTATATTGCCAAAGCCAGTATATAGTTCAAGAAAAAAAAAATACCAGATTTCAGAGTCACTACTAGAGTATCTCACAAGTAAGTGATAAGCTCTATAAGTGAAGTATATAATCTCAAGACACTTTAATTCCTCCAGAAAGAAAAGTGACGTCTAGGAAAATGATGTGCTATAATTTACTTCTCAACCTTTAGAAACTTTGATCTTGAAAAAGATGATGTAACATTATCTGGACCTCCTTCTATATATAACAAATCTAAGCATTATCTCCAGGTAAAGACAACTTGATCAGCAATTTCTAGGAAAAAATTGTCCTCTAGTCATTTATTATTCTATTTGGGGTAAAAAACAAAAAAAAAAAAAACAACCACTCAAACAATTAGTATTTATATGGTTAAGTGAGAAACCTGGGGGGTACCAATCCCATTCTCAGTTTAAGGGGATTCAAATCCTCTGTACCACTCTAATATAATGTCCCAAAAATAAACGTTAGCCCAAGATGAGGCAGCTTGAACAGATTCATTATACAGTCAGAAATGTAAGAACCAACAACAGAAGATGTAGTTTTATAACTGGGTACAAAAATCAGACAGTACTTCCCTGATGTTCTGAACCACGAATACAACTTAAAACTGTTGGACTCAGGGCTGTATGGAGCTACATTTACTTCAAGAGACTATTTTCTGGTATAGATCTCTCAAAGCACTTGTACACAGGGCTTCTTTATTTTGATAATACTGTGCACAGAGATACCAGGCTGCTTAAACAAGCCAAGACAGCAAACTGAAATTTGGATCCTTATACGCCTTTGTGAATACATGTCCTCTTTTGTCAGAACTTGGAGATCCCAAACACTAGACTTTGTTACTTTGAAGTTACACCAGGACAGATTCCTGCATTAAATTTCAATCAGTCACTACAACTCAAAAATGGATAGAAGCATACAAATATTACTTCAATCAACCTAAAATCCCATCATCAGATAATGAATCACAGACCTCTCTAGAACTGTATTTCAAACACACCTTCCCAAAGCCAAACAAAAACAAGCTATCTTCAGATCTACTGTAAGAGCTCATTCCATTACTGTCTCCACTTCCAGTTTGGAAGGAAGCGACAACACTGATTACGGATGGCCTCTGCCAATTTATGTTTTGGCATTGTGTTGGGTTAGCCTGGACTACTCCAAAGAGATTAATAAATGTTTATGAGTGAATTCTTTGACTCCTAGAGAATAAGAAACATTTCAAATGTTTCTTTGATTCTCAACAAAATCAGCCCAGGAAAGAGCATACCATAGTGTAAAAAAAGAAAACAAACCAGGGCATTCAACAGCTACACACAGATACAAACTCCCAGCAAAAGACAGTATTCAAATGTAGCATTCTTGCTTTGGTAAAAAGGACTGTCACAAAAAAATTTCCCCATGGAAAAAGAACATAAAGACTAAATCAATAAAGAATTGTGAGGAAGCACAAAGCTGTAAGCCTGTACAGTTTTCTTTTATTCAGATATCCTGAAGACAAAGTAGCTAAACATGAGGGAACCAGTGAGCAAAAGGAAATCAGTCTTCTCATCATTATAATACAATGAAAAACTAAACAAAAACTTCTGTGCATCTGTTACTTCTGGCTCTCACCTTCTCTAACTAACAATCAAAATCCTGCATGTAAGGCAGAGAGAAGTCATTGTGAGATTTTTCCAAACAAAGTATTTCAGGTTTAAAGGTATGACAGCATGTTGAAGGACTAGACATCCAGTCTTCCATGGCACTCAGTAACACGGTTGTGAAGACCAGGAAGCTGATGTGAACTCTGATAAGCTAGGCAATAGTGTTGTAATGATTATAAATTGATAGTTATCCTACACATTTCTTCTTTTTTCCTGTCTCAATTATCACCAATATTTCAAACATAAGAATGCATTAAAAAAAACCTCCTACATGCAAATATTACAGATGTGTATGTACTATTTATACACACACAGAGCATGTTTTTAATTATTATTATTATTTTTTTTTTAAAAGAACCTACATTGAAAGTAACAGAGTTAAGAAACACTATCAGACTGATACCTACGCAGCAGATTAGTGGTTCAGAGTCCCATTTAATCTTTTAAGTTTATTTACCTGTTGATCACTTGATGTACGTTGCTGAACTGCATCATGGCTCACAGAGCCTTTTTTGACTTGTACCCTGCCAGGTGGAGGAGGAATCACACCCGAATAAGAAGCTGGGTTATCAGCATCTGAAGAATACAAGGCCGTGTGTCTTGATTCTTGTTCATTTTTTGACACAACAAATCTGGGAAGAGGGAGATCCTTCACTGTTTGAAAAAAAAAAAAAAGAGCAGGCCATTTACTATATACAAGTATGAATTTTAAAAATAAAATATGCACTTCATTTTGTAGTTGAAATTTCACGCGTGCCTCAATTACTTAGACAACAAGAAAAGTTTTAGTCCCTTTTAGTCAGAAAACAGCAAGCGCCTTTTCCGCATCATGCTTCATGATTCTGCTACTCAAGTTCTAATACAAGATTTCACATAGCTCCATAAACTTATCACTTTTCACTATGTTTGCACAAAATGCAGTAGCAATCATACAATCTAGACTTAGCTCTTTTCTGAGTTACACCAACATTCATTACTGAAGTTTGATTTGCAATAAATATTTTTAGTAACTGCCATTTCTAGATATTTATCATTTATATATAAGTATTTAAAATTAGATTATTTTCATTAAAAAATGGTTCATCAGCAAAACAAATGCTAAAGTATAGCAGTGTTCACCATCATCTTTAGAGAGCTGCTGTCACAGTTGCATTTATAGTAGACAATATAATTTAGCCTTATTAAAAAGATGGCAAATAATGCTTGAACATGTGTGTGTAGTTTAGCTTCTATATGAGAAGCTAAACTAGTTGTTTTAATGGAATACAACTGGGAACATTCCACTATCAATTTCTTTTTTTTAAATGAACACCTAACCTTCTACAAAAACTTTCTACCAAAAAAAAACTAACCAGAAGGTCCTTAGCTTTATGGTTTACAATAATATAAGTGTTCTATTTCTCACTGCAAGATTTGTATCATTTTTCTGAATTCCAACCAGATTTCTCACTAGTCCACTGTGAATCAAACTGAATTTGCCACACAGATTACTCATCTTTGCTGTGTTGGAAAAGCAATTTACAGTATGGGTCAAGTTCAATCCCTGCCATGGATTGCTGTATGTAGATTACATAGAACACTAGAACTTCTTCTGATACAAGGGAATTCTATTTCGAGTCTACTGGTTGCTCCAACATAAGGTTTTGGTATGAAGTATTTAGCACTATCTCACAAAATAACATCCAAAGCTCACCATGAACAGAAAACACAGCATTGTCATCTTTTAAAACAAGATTCGATAATACAGATTTGTTCTTACTATACTACTAAACTTTTACATGGCAACGGAAAAAAATGAAATTTTTTACTTCTCTTCTAATTTTTCCCCATAACAGCAGAAAATCACATTTTAACATTACATTTGTTATAATTCAGAAATGCTTGAATTATAAATGCTACAGTAGTTATTAATGGAAATATGATATTAAATTAGAAAAATGTATGAAAGTTCACTGTATTTCCTCAAACCCACATTTTTATTAACATTTTCTTCCACCAAAAACAGCAATCTATACTTAGAAAACAAACATTACTTCTGAAGAGATACTCAGAATCATTATGAATTTTTCAGCTTGCTATATTTTAGCTATTTAGTAGCTGCAGCAAAATTTCTTGAACTAACTCTAGGCACAGGGACTTCATAGAGAAGACTAGAACCACTGCAACCAAGGCAACAGACAACCAAAGCTAAAAACAGCTAGGGTAAAAATAAATGTTCTGTCGATTATACTTGTTGTATTTAGTAGGTTTGGAACAAGCTACAGAAAATTACTCCTAGAAGTCTAGAAAACATGACAAGTATTTCTAGCTCTGCAATAAATCAAGGAAACATATTCCATCACAAATTCCAATTTTCATTTTTTTGGAATTAATTCTGTACTTCATTTTGATTCCTTCCTTCAAATTTCTTCTGATACAATCCAAGCTTTTTTTTTTTTTTGTATTAAAAAACCTCAGTTAAGGTACCTTACATTAAAATAAATCAAGCACACAAAAGCACTGAAACATACGGAGATTGTAGTATTTGCCTTCTTTCATGGGTGTTTGATGAGAAACCCCACCATTGTTAATCAAGTTTGTTTTATCAAATATTAGGAACTGAAGGTCCCTTTTCCAACTCGCTGATTCTAGGGCATTCTGCTATAATTTGCCAAAGCTTTAGAACTTTGGAACATTCAGCTCAAGAACCAGTGAAACAACTTATAAGCATGGTGATTTATGAGCAGAAAGGAACTTCAATACTAGCAAAGTGTTGAATAAAACCATGCACTTTTCCAAAAAGCTACAAGAAACATAGATGTAGTATAAACTGTTTGTAGAAGCCTATAATAAACATAACTGTAAAGCACGTCATGATTCTTTACTCCTTCATAGGACTGAAGTATTTGACAAAGCTGTTAGATTGTTTTTACTGTATTCTTACTTGGCTTAATCTATATTCTTCAGAATAAAAGAAAGTTTAGGAGCTTTTAATATTATCAGCATACACAAATTCTACCATAAAATGAATTCTGCAGTAAGATCTACTACAGTAATCACCCAAATTCAAAGCTGCTTTTGAAAACTAAAACCTGAGAGTTGTGTACTTGCTGCAAAAGGCTGCTGTGGCTTAAACCCTGCACATCACCTTCCTAAACCTCTTTTCATCTCACATAGCAACACGGACACATGAATTTGCTTACATCACTCAGAAAGCTACAGCAGAGTCTCAAGGCTCTTTGTGCTGCTCTGAACGTTCATCCTAAAATGAGTCTCTCCTATTCCTATTACCCACATCATACCTGATCTTGAGAAAACAACAGCTGTTCTGTTTGACAAAGGAACTTTTTACAGATGAGGTTTTTTTAATTAAAAAATCTTAAGCTATTAATCTTGATATTTGGGAAAAAACTCAGAGCAAGCACAAAGGAATGTAGCTTTGGAAAAGGAAAGTTTGCATTTGTTACTATCAAGGTTCCAAAAAACTCAGTATGCACAAAACTATGCAAATATTACATTCCCCTTCTCCTTCAAATTCTCACTGCTCCAATTAATACTTTATTCAGTGGGTACAGCGCACAAGTTATCACATAATTGTCTACAGAATTAACTTGTACTTAACACAATAGCCAGTAGAATTTGTCCACTTGGCCCACGATAACAGTACTTACCTCAATGAATAGGAGGTAAGGTACTTCATCTTACATTTACCACTTAAGAATAGACTGCCTCAGTCTCCCCACAACTGGTATTTTTAGATTATCAACGTGTACAGAAAGATAAACCACATTAATTTACAAGACTGATCTCCCAGAATCTGTAAGCGAAGTACAACTCAAAACCAACCCATTCTCCCTCCTTTGCTTTACCTGTATTTAAGCTTTCCACTCTTAGAGGGAGACCTGACTGGGCCACAGCAACGAGTTTCAAAGCAATATAAAATTGACTTCTTCCAAAATAGCCAAGTCTTGTTGCACCACAGAGCTCCATAATCTGCAATGAAACACAGTTACTTCTATGAGGAAACTTAAAAATACAAATTGCTCTAAAGAGGCAATTCCATGCATTCAAAAGCAGTAGATCTTGCATTAAATGACCGTAACAACTTTATATGGACCTATACAGTAGATGGCAAGACTTAAAGCATATGATATTCTTCACAGCCAGCAAAAGTTCCAAGTCTAAAACTGAAGTTTCCTTCAATTTTCTTTTTTTTTTCCCTTTTCTTTCACCTCTTTGTAGAGGTTCTACACATTTGATGGAAAAGAACAGAACATGCTAGCTCCCAAGGGTCTTCAGAAAAAGAAAATTCCAAAAAACCCACACAACTAGAAAGCCCATAAGAATCCTACTTCACCACTAACTATTCTATTAGCAGCTATACCGTCTTTGTTTCTTAAGCAACCACTACAGAAAAAGAAAATCTACTTTTAAGAACGTTCAACATTTTTAACATTATGCTGATTGCTAGATGTAATTCAGAAACTAAATGAGGATTTTCAAGTAATCGCCATACAAAATTGAAAAGCACATTACTGATCATATCAGAGAAACGGTCCTGCCCCTTATTTCTGCCTGAAAATTTCCCTGTTAGAATTTATAAAAAGTGAACGAATGTTCATAATTTCAAACACTATCTTCTATCCTATTCTGATTCATTTGAAATAGCTCGACTTCTAACTTGTAAGGTTAACCTGTAAAGCATTCATTCAGAACACAAGGGAGTATTTACCACCATTCACAGTATTTTTCATTCAGAGAGACCTAGACAGGCCCCAGCTGTGGGTCCAGGAGAACATCATGAGACTAAAAAAAACCCAAAAAACAAGGGCACCTGGGTCACAACATCCCCCACTATCCCAGAAAGCAGGCAGTCAAGAAAATTGAGCACAGCCCCACTGAAAGTGACTTAGAGGTACTGGTAAATGGCAGGTTGGATGTGAGCCAGCAATGTGCCCTCACAGTCCAGAAATCCAACCATATCCTGGGCTGCATCAAAAGAGGTGTGGCCAGCAGGTTAAGGAAGGTAATCCTGCCCCTCTGCTCTGTGCTGGAGAGATTTCACCAGAGGTACTGCATCCAGATGTGGAATTCACAGAACAAGAGAGAGACAGACCTATTGTAATGCATCCAGAGGAGGGCTGCAAAAATGATCCTGGTGTGGAACATCTCTACAAGGACAAGCTGAGAGCTGGAGCTGTTTAGCTTGGAGAAGGCTCTAGGGAGATCTGATGCCCTTGGTGATACTCAGAGTCAGGTGGACAGGTCTCTGAGCAGCCTCATCTAGCTGGAGATATCCCTCTTTATTGCAGGAGAGTTGGTCTCATGGGCCTTTAAAGGTCCCTTCCAAAACACACATACACCAGGACAGGCAGAGAATGCAGAACTTCAGGTTCTTCAAATAAGGACACCATATGTTCTAATTAATTTAAACAATACAGCACAAAAATGAAGTTACCCTATTCCTTTCTTCCCTTTGTGCTATGTAATGCAAAGGCGATCCTGTATCTTTTGTTACGATATTATACAAATATTGGTCCCTCCCAGTGGCAGCTGTGTATTCAAACATGCTGCTGCACTCCCCCAAACTCAGGGGCCTGCAAATTTGATATGGGTGCATTCCTGCTTCTGAAAGTCGCTGGCAAGATATTGAAGATGACACATCCCAAATCCAACTAAGTTCAATAATTCAGACTCTTTAGCACATAGAGCAGTCTCATCTAGACTGTAATGATTCAAACAAGATACAATGATCCTGTTGGACACCATCATGAAAGCCTTGCCGAAGTCAAGGCAAATGACATTAGTGCTCTTCTCCCCTCACCCAGTTCTATTCTTTCCACCACTGCAGGCCATTTGCTTGACAAATATCCTTGGTGAATCCACACTTGCCAATCCCAGTCACTACTTTTCCCTTCCTGTTCTGAGAAATGGCTTCCAAGTGGACTCGTTCCATAATTTTCCCAAGGACTAAAGTGTAGCTGATCAGAATGAAGTTCCCTGAACCCTTGCTCCTCCTGAAGATGGCTGCAACCTATCTTTTTTCAGTCATTGAGGCCCTCTAATCTTTACAACAGTTCAAAGATAAAGCAGGCTTGCAATGACATTCACTTGCTCTCACAGTATTTTTGGAATCATCTGGTCCTACAAACGTGATATGTAACCAAGCTACTCTAGAGAACCTGCTTTAGCAGAGGGGTTGGGCTAGATGATCTCCAAAGGTCCCTTCAAACCCCAGTGATACTTGATATTTTTTGAGACATTCATCTTCTTACACTACTACAAGTTTCTTCTTTTGAAACCATTCCCAGGATCAAAAGCCTGTAAGATGACTGTGATGATAATTCAGAGAAAGCACTGAGAATCTCAGCATCACCTACATCAAGTGGCACTAACACCCCCCTCACCCTTCACATCTCAGCACAGTCACGTTCTCAGTTTAGCAAATCTAGTCTCTTGATGTATCTTCTCAGTTTCCTAACTACTGGAATGAACATTTAGTAGGCTTAAAGAAAGTTGCCCAGAAAGAACTCTCTGCTCTCATCAGAAACAGTTCTGAAGGACAGATGAGCTCACAGTTACTTTTTGTTGGCAAACCTGAAAAACAGTCAATATTTTCACATAGCAGAAAATGAACCACGAGGTCCATAAGGAGTTCGACTGTATGCTGCACCACTGCTGAAACAGAAAAGACTTCAATCATTGTGCAATCAAGCACAGGTTTATTAACTAAAGCAGAGTTGCAAAAGGCCCCAAAAAAGGTTTCTTGGGTATTTCCTTACCATACATCAAGATTCTAGGACCTCATGAAAGTTGTTGTGAAGCCTGTTACAGAAAGGACTGGGAAGTTGACAAAGACTCAGTTCCAAAGCAGTTCCTGGAGGATCAGGAGGTCTATTGCTCTGCAAAGAGCTTATAAAATCCTTCAGGACAGAAGCTAGCAGCATTAATTAACATGGATACATCTGCTTCACACATTGTCCTACAACACCTGTGTTATTTCTGTTTTCCCAATGTGGCATTCACACAGTGTGATGTCTGGACAGAAGTCAACAGATTTTTTTAAGGTTCATTAATTAAAAGAAAACAGTTTGTATTTCAATACACAACCCTACACAACACTAGTGTCAGAACACATTAGACTACCAGAAATTTCATATGGAAACTAATTACAGTAAACTGACAGGTGAGAGCTCAAAGAATAAAAACTTTGAGGAATTAACTATGGAAATTGCCCATACTTAGCCAAAGGCTGAAAAAACACTATGTTTAAATAACTGGCTGAATTAAAGCAGCAGAGTTTCAGTAAGAGATAGCACAAACAAAACCAGTACAATAATAAAGTATTGTTTTTTCTTTTTTTTTTTTTTAGAGCGTATTTTGGAAGACTGATGATTACCCATGTACTTGACTATACCTAAAAAAAGCTCACTGATCCTGTGATCTAACATTAACAGATGAATAACTGAGCAGAATCTGGAAAAGCTTTTTATGACAGGAAGCAGTGACACAGGTATTTGGAGCCTATGCAATCATTGGGTAGTATTGGCTTTTGGCAGTTCAAAGTCAGTGCTGGACTAGAAACAGTTGTCTTTGGAGCAGCTTAGTATTGCCAGGTTGAAGAAAAACACTTCAGCTGAAGACTGGATTAATAATTAAGCTACAATGGCAGTAAGTATTAGAGAGGAAAGACAAGCATGAATTCAAAGGAGAGAAGTGTAGGAGAATACATTTAAATATCATGAAAACTGAAAAACGCTGAAAAAATGGAATGCCCTCACGCTGCTGAAGGAGGAGCTGTCAAATTCTCTCAAAGAAAGCCAAAGAAGACCTCCCTTTCAAAAAGATTATAACCCAATCAGACACATGACTGATGGTTGGGTAAAATCATTAAATGCAAAGATCTGCTGAAGACCCCTGAGCTCACTGACAATACGCTTGAACAAACCCAAACAGTCTACCTATAATCTCCTCAAAGGAGGATTTAAATACTCAACAGGCAGTAAGCTATACTGACAGGAAAAAAATAAATCAAGGGATTGCTTCTGAGATTTGTTTTATTTTTAGGAATTCCATCTTCTAAGGACTATAGAGGATAAGGATTTTCCTAAAACACTCCAAGGAATGCAAAGTCATCTTCAAGACAAAGTGTTCTATTATTGTTTTCATCTTCTTAGGTAGGAAGATCCTGACACGGCGCTGTTGCAATTAAGCAAATTAGTGGTGACAACTTTTTAAAGCTCCAGAACTACTTGAAACTGTTGACACAAAAAAAAAGTATTGGGTTTTTTTAATTATAAAATTGCACACACAGTCCTTATCCACACTGCAAAGAAATAACACTAACATCATTAGCATTAGGATTAGTAGCATTGTACTGGGCTCCCCAATACAAAAAAGACAGGGATCTCTTGGAAAGAGTCCAGCGGAGGGCCACAAAGATGGTGAAGGGCCTGGAGCATCTCCCCTATGAAGAAAGGCTAAGTGATCTGGGTCTGTTCAGCCTTGAGAAAAGACGACTGAGAGGGGACCTGATCCAGGTCTATAAATATCTAAGGTGTGGGGGGCAGAGTGGCGAGGCCAGACTCTTCAGCAGTGTGTGAGGACAGGACAAGGGGAAACGGCCAGAAAGTGCAGCATAGGAAGTTCCGCACAAATGTGCACAAGAACTTCTTTACAGTGAGGTGACGGAGCACTGGAACAGGCTGCCCAGGGAGGTTGTGGAGTCTCCTTCTCTGGAGATATTCAGGACTCACCTGGACACCTACTTGTGTGACCTGGTGTAGGGAACCTGCTTTGGCAGAGGGGTTGGACTCAATGATCTCTGGAGGTCCCTTCCAACTCCTGTGATTCTGTGATTAGGAGTTGGCACAGATCAGACATATATAGGAAATGGTAGGTTGACAAAGAACGTCTTTCCAAGCACTTATCTTCTAGAACTTTTACAGACAATAACATAAGAAGTCCTTGGACTTGGAGATGTTTGTTAACAA